ACTCTGATGTTATTTACCCTTATTTTAGTAATCCCTGAGTGAAAAATCAGCCTTTCGTATCAGAGTAAATTGATTCTTATATTCTATTACTCTTGTGGTTTAATATGTATATTTTAGTGTTGTATCAGTAAATTGGATTGTATATTTAGAATCTGTGTGTGAGATTGAAATTTAATTTGTTTGATTGATTCTTAACAGTCATCAAAGCACTCTCACAGTTTACTCTTTGTAATTGTTTTAGTAAATTAAAAAGCCTCACATCACTGCATAAGTCTGCCTCACCATTTTGTTTTCTCTTGTTAGTTATATTTTTATTTTTTTCTGTACTGTTTTTGAATTTCTTTTGAGTATTTGCTTTAAGTACTATGGTATATTTTGTACTCTGTCTCCTTAATCAAAAAATAATAACATAGACTCCACATACAAAAATAATGTGTGATATTCTCATAAATGCCCCGCTCTTGTGTTTATTTGGCTGCTTTAATTTGTCTACTTTGCTGTATCCTTAGCTCCAACTCCAGTGTTGTATTCTGTATACTGGGCAGAGCCCGAGATCAAATTGTGCTGTCTCCGTCACCCCTGGGGTGTACTGCAATTTTTGGCATTCCTTTAATTTGTGCATCTCTTCTCTCCATCTGTCAAGAACGCAGCTTGAATGTATGAACTGTGTTCTAATTACTGGAGATGTTTTTTGCCAAAAGATTACATTCCCTTTGAGGATTTACAGAGTCTATGCTTTTACCTCTATCCTTGGAGTTCTTTCTTTTGTGTAGTTTGTTTTTCACAACAGAGTGATATATGACCACCAACATGTAACGAATCAGTAAAATATAAATATTTATACATCGATCAGGGATATTCAACCTCTAGTCAATGTTATAGGTCACCCTACATTACCTGGCTTTTCAAGGATTTGTAGGAACTCCAGTAAGATATTAATCAATTTAGCATGATTTAATAGCTATATATAACCTACTGGAAAGGAGCTCTTCGGGAATGGGGATGAAAACCTTTGCAGTACAACAAGACAATGACACTAAAGGTTCTTAAAATATGATTCTTCATAATATTATCATATTATCTAATATTAGTATGATCTTATAGTATTCTTCAATTAACTGTATATTATATTCTTAATGTTTCAGGTATTGTTCTTCTCCTTTTTGTTTTTTTTCAGTACAAGCAGAGAGAAATGTACAACATTATTTATTTGTAGAACATATACTGTAAGTGTTTGGAGTAAGAACATGTTTGCACACAGTATTGAAAATTCACAGACAGTACTGCACTACAAACTTTTTTTACAGTTATACAGAAGATGATATGTTCTGTATAGATCATTGAAAAAGAGTACGTCTCTTAAGAGATATGTAAAATCTTGTCTCATGTGGCAAGTGTGCAGTTTTTCCTGATGGTGCTTTAGTTGGAGATTAGCCAGCAGATGCTTTTTCTGCTAATAATTATATGATGCTTCTCATACTGAAACAGAATTGGTGAAGTACCACAGGCATGGCATTTTAGCACACTAGATTACAATGTTTGTCTTAACAAAGCAATTAATGTTTTCAATTAAAGTTATATTTTGAAAAATGTTGTTACATCAGTACAAATGTTTTGCTAGAGATAACCTTTTCTCTCAAAATGAATATTGTAAAATTATTTAGATAATTTACCTTGTCAAAGAAGCTTATCAAATTGAAAATCAAAAAATCAAATTTTTTTAAGTTTCAAACCAGTTACAGTATTTTTATCTTTGAATAAATGTTTGATATGAATACATTACATCTTTAAATAGGTTCAGTATTTTTCTTACTTTCAAAGGTTTACAGTTTGTGTGGAATAAATATGTAATTTAAAATCCATGTGTCTTTTTGATTGATAAGATTTGTTTATCCTTGAGAAGTACATTAGCACTAGTAAGCAGATAGTAATACCATTGTATACTGGTTTAAGAGGGAATGTGCATTGTCTACTGTACTTTTAACCAATGAGAAAGTTTTATATATCATTTTATATCATTTATTGCTTTACCAATTATTTGTGCTTAGCCAACCAAGAACACAATAAGAGCAATATAATTGTCGTCATAGCAGTTTAATGTCTAATTATGATACCATGCCCAATTATTTAAAGAATGTTCTTTAGAAATGTCAAAATTTCTAAAGTCTATTACATAGTATTGTGTCTGCTCAGAGAGAATGCAATGTTTCTTTTCTTGCTTGCTTCTCATTAATGATAATTGTCTTTTAAAGGTGGTATTTTTGCAGACAGGTTTGTTTGCATGTAGTGAGCATGACACACTATTTGCTAATGGCTCTTTAATATAGAAAAGAAGCCAAAACATTCTGAGGAAGGTGTTCAGAAATGCAGTTTCCTTCAGGCATTTGCTGTAAACAATCATTAAATGCATCATGCCATCTGTAACACAAGCACACACACACACACAAACACCCACACTCTACAGATGCCTTTAGTCTCTAGAGTTTTGTTTTCACACCCTACAGAGGTATGATCTGTATTGTGCCGCAGGAACTTAGTTCATTCCAGTAGGTCTGGCTAAACTCGCCACTAGCTCTAGTTTGCAGCCAAATGTATGTTGAACACAGTCAGAGGAATAAACATTTTGATTAAGTGAATTCCAAAAAATCCTTTACCCAAAATGTCCATTTCAATCACTGGAGAATGTAGAATACACATAATATACTCATTATTATTCATTATAAATCCTCTATTAAGTATGCTTGGTTGGGACTAAACCTTTAAAAAATCATTCAAACCTCTGAGGAGGACATAAAGATGTGCTTGTCTCCCCAGTGACTAAATGAAAAGAACTGAGAAAGACTTTGCAAGCCAACCTCAGTCAGCTAGGCACGATGTTCATCATAAAGCAGCAGCAAGATATTTGAGGCTATATTGCACTTTTGTTGGTAAATAATGAGCTTCTTGGAATAAATAATGATGATAGTACAAGCAACAGCTCTACGGACACCATTTTTAGTCTCCTTCTACATATATACACATGCAGAAGAAAAACAATACATATGCAAAAGATAAACTGTGGATCTAGGGTAATTTTTATGCAAAAACTTAACTGTCTCTGGTGGAATTTTAACAGATAATGGTCAATGTTAATTGAGAATAAATATCTCACAAGGTCAGTCAGTCAAGTTGAACAGGTTGCAGGTAACATTGAAAAAGCAATACATGTGATAGTATTTTATATGACTAATGCTTTTCGTTTTCTTTTCATTAGAATTGTGATTCATGATACTGTAACATCAATTAGCCCATAATGATATTTTAAATATTAGCTGCTTACTATAAATCTTATTATAACTACTATAAATCGTATTATATGGATATTTCATATTGCTACAAGGATGTTTACCACTTAATTAAAATGCAAATGACAGGTGGTTGTTTCTGCCTCAAAGAGTTGTACTTTTTTCTCTTATTTGTTTAAACATGTTATTTAAATGACATTTACAGTTTCCAAGCCACCAACAATCTGTGATTAAATATTCAAATTTTCAACATCTGCTACTTGACCAGACATCAGGACTGTGTTAATTATGCTAAAGTTTACAGTCTGGAAAAACATGTCACAGTGTAATGCGAGTTATAGAGACATTGACATGCTAATGTAAATATTAAACAATAGATGACCTAGTTCAATATAAGTCTATTGTTGCATAGAACATGTAGGTTGGGTGTTTTTGCCTTTTAAGTAATGACGCTCAAGTTTGGATTGAGATTTGAATTAAGGTTGCATAAATAGTTAGGTCTTCAGAGGCAGCAAATTGTAAAATGCAATATAGGAGCATTTTATTAATGAAACAGTTAGGCAGCCCATTTATAGTACAAGGTATTTAGAAAATAAGTCTTAATACCTCTATCAGATTGGTTGAATGACCTCCTCTCAATCTTAGATGAGAGAAAAGTCTAAGGTGTTATTTTATCTGACCATTATACATATTCAGAACTTTGTTCAGACCTTAGATTTTGTTTTCATGAAATTTAAAAAAATAGACAGGAAATGATCTTCCGATATTATCTCTAATACCAGTGCAATACAACAGCTGTTATTTCAGGATAGTATTACAGTCTAAAACATTTTCCAAATTGTGTGTGATTAAAAATGTGTAAATTATGATTGGACTCACTCAATGGAATGCCATGGAGACTGTGAAAAGAAACTGTACAATTGTAATGTTTGGAGGAATACAGCATCATAACAGTATGTAGCGTTTGCAGGTTCTTTTCAGAACTAAAGAACAGTGGAGACGCAATTAACCAACCAAGCACTAGCTTTATTTAACAACCACACAAAAACCAAACACAGGATCTACACACACATGAGGAGACTGACGGAACACGTACACATATTTAGGGTGGTAATTACCTAACAACACACTATACTTTTACAAGACTACACAGGGCACTAGAATTAGTAGGACATTATTTACACAGGTAGTGTCAGCCGCTGGTCATCGTGCTGACCCTCAGACTCTCCCCGGCTACCACTCCCAGCACGCCCAGCGGTACTACGAGTGCCTAGGGGCGCTTCCTCCTCACCACCAGGCGAGGGCGTTACAAGTATTTAATTTCTTTAATGTAACATTTTTTGGCCCTGGTCACACCATAACTCAAGTTGAGCAATTTGTTACTGTTGAAGTCGATAATTAACTTTATCAGTAATAAGCCACATTTTGAAAACTGGATGTATTGGATTTTTTGCCTTCTTTACATGCTCAGCTTCTTTCCACATGGGCAAAGCTCTGTTCACAGATTACTAATATTAATGTTAGCTGTAGTGATGTAGTAGCTTTAATAGTTGTTTCGTGGTAATGTACATCTTTATTGTTTGATTCATGCACTCTTGAATATATTAAACACATACATAAACATTTCAGGACAAATTATGTTTTACGCTACAATTTTTATCAAATCATGTATAGTACATTTATGAGTTTTGAATTTAATTTTGATTTTTTTAACAGGAACTTTAAACCAAAAGAACTGGGGCAAGAAATACCCATCTTGTAACAATGCCAAACAATCCCCCATTAATATTGATGAGAATATTACTCAAGTCAAAGAGCAATTTCAGAAACTGAATTTTGAAGGCTGGGAAAGAGGAACATCAGACAAAACCTTTATACACAATGATGGCAAAACAGGTAAATTTGTAGTTTTATAATACCATATAACTTTTTTATTCTTTTTAGTTTACAGCACTCTCATGTGACAGTATTCCCATTATCTAAGAAGGTATGCGATCATATAATGATCATCCAGGTTGTATAACAAAATGATCAAAGTATAATATATCTACAGTACATGTACCAATGTCTTATTTTAAAACATGCCCATACAGCAGTCATGCCACAGACTAGCAAAATGGGTTATTACTATGAATTTGTGATTGTTATCCTATTGAATTGGATAGCTAACATATATGAAATCCTAATAGATTCAACAAATATTATGTGAGTCTTTTTTTTCTTTTTTAAAAGAAGGAAAATTATGATTCTTTTAATAATAGAACTACTGGAGCAGTATGATTGGAGAGCTGTAAAGTAGATGGATAGAGAAAGAAAACACAGAGAAAATACGATTTAAATGACATTGAGCATGAGGTAGTTGCCAGTGTTTGGTGACTAAGCTTGAGTGTGAAAAATAATTCCTTGGTTAATTTTTTATATTACAAGGACCTGAGTATTTTTTGTTTTGTTTGTTTTCAAAAAGACAAATCAGGAATTCATATCTGATGATGAAAAACTGTAAACAAAGTGACAGTCATACACCCTCTTTATGACTGCTTTGTCTATGTATTTATGCTCGAGTTTTCTTTGGTTAATCATATCTAATTAATCATATCTATTTAACAATTATCTTGTGAGAACTAGTTGCATTTTGTACTATAATATACTACAAAATGTGATGTATGTTTTGTTTTTTCTTTTAACTCACAGTGGCAGTTAATCTCGATGGAGAATATTATATCAGTGGGGGAGGCCTTAGGTCAAGATATAAAGCTGGCAGGATTACTTTTCATTGGGGAAAATGCAACGCCTCTTCTGATGGTTCAGAACATGGGTTAAATGGACAGAAATTTCCCTTAGAGGTAAATAAGGACAATTGTTTGCATGGATTATTTTGATCTTAGCTTCTTCCAAAAGGACCTAGTTAGAAAGAATAGATTATAATTGCAAATGGAATATTTTTTTTTTCATTTTCACCTCCCAAAAAATGTTAGATTCCCTTCAAAGACAGAAGCATGCATTTAAGCACTGAAGGGAAAACATAGACTATTGTTTTCTAGTGCATTATTTTTCTAGTTTTATAATCCTCTTATGTGCCTTAGTGATTATGTTTATTTTCTAGCATGTGTTATAAAATGATTTTCTATTGGAACCTTATTGGATTTATATGCACATAATTAAATACAAACATAATAAAAACTCTACTGTGCACATACAGTATACAGTATCTTGGCTTCTGAAGTTTTTGAACAAACATTAATACTAAAAGTTGATGAAAGAAATTACGTTTTGTTATTGGCTTTGTGTAATGTTTGGTTATGAATGTGAGTGCAAGAAGAAATAATTAAATTTTATGTCACACCTCTTACAGATGCAAATTTTCTGCTTTGAAGCACATGAGTATGACAACATCGATGAGGCAATAAAAGGTGGTGGAAAAATAACAGCTCTGTCTGTTTTGTTCGAGGTATTTTTCTGAATAATTTTGCTTAATCTCTGAATTACAGATGCTATTAAAAGTAAAGTATCATATTTTATATTATTAGATGGCTGGATTGTATTATAATATAATCATAATAATATGCTTTAATTCTTTATTTGATCATTTACAATTTGAGCTATAGTGTCTGCCTTTGAATGTGCTGGCTTGTCTGAAAATGTGTTCTATACTTAAAGTATATATTTTAAAATATCAATACGCACTATACTTATTATGAATGTACGTCTGCATTGATGAAGATGATGAAAGATATGATCACATGCAGCACAAGGTTTAATTTAAGGTTTCATTCTAACCTTCCTCACCAGCCTTTCTTGTCGTTTCTCAGTGACATGAGTATTACAGATCTACATAAATGTAAAAGTGCCTCCTGAAAAACAGTGATGACTATTTAGTGATACTACAAGTATATTAAAAAGTGATTCAGCTTCACAACCATCATAGATTCTAATTATACCCAGCCATGTGCAAATTATAAAGGTTACTTCTTATTTGTTGTAACAGCTTTATATTTATACGTATTGTATTTGGCTAAATATTGTAAGTACTGTATATTGTATGTCTCAAAATTAATGGTTCTTGACAAGTGATTAAAGCCAACCATAAAGATTTGCCTGTTATAAGATTCAGTTTTAGTGTGAGAAATCAACTGTGAAAAGAGATTGTTTAATAGTATTTGGGCACTGAGTACTTAGTAGAGAAAATTACCATTTTAAATAGAGGCGTTTTGACCAGTATGTAAATTATTAAGGATTCATATTCTTGTTTTCAAATGACTTTATTGAGTTTATTATAGATAGTAGCCTAGCCTTCTAGGATGTATCTAAAGAAGAATACCATCTTTCAGGCAGTATCTACAGCTTACAGAGTGAATAAAAAAGTCTGCTGCTCAGTCTGGAACAGGGGACAAACTGGGACCTACAGTTTGTATTATAATGCCATTCTATACAGTCAACATTTGCTAGAGGACAGACAGCTTATTATTAGCCTTGTTGTATGTTGATCTCTCTTTCAGTGAGAATATAAAAAAACGCAGCAGGGGTTGTCTAACACACATGCATCATTATCAGTTTGAGTTGCAGAATACCAGCTGCCAGGGCTTTGAATTTCTGTTGACAGCATGGGAGGTACTGTGTGGTCTTGAGACTTGGCACAGTCTAAATTAAAAATGTTTGTGCGCCACTTTTCTGACAAAGTACATCTTTCGTGACTGAATGTTTGTGGACATGGAAATGCGTTTTCAGATGATTTGGAATGTCAGATTCCTGGAACTGGGTCTCTCGTGCCAAACAGTACAGCAAGTCCTAGACTTGTGCCAGTTGGGAATATGATTTCTGATAAAGAACATCATCAGGCATATGTCTGTCCATTTCATTTCTGAAGTCACGCAGCGATAGTTGAAAAAGAGAGATGGGTGTTCTCCTACTCTGACAACATGCTACAACAGGAGAGGAGGACAATGAATCAAAATAGGATACAGCTTTGCCTTAGTCTGCTGGCCAAGCAAGAGACATAGATCATCAATAGAGTATTAATAACTCAACTACAAGACTTGCCTCTCAGTAAAACCAGGATTAACGGAAATTCAAATAGAGGTGGCAGTACAAGCCAGCAACTAAAACAAATACAATACGAAATCCTCCTAGGACTGTAGGATTGAAACTGATTACTACCAAGGACTTTTCAAGACATGATATACAGATTATTTTTACTGTAAAATGAAGTGAATATACTGTATACTACATACCATATATATGTCCTACATTTTCAATTCAAATTACAGTGGTGTGAAAAAGTGTTTGCCCCCTTCCTGATTTCTTATTTTTTTGCATGTTTGTCACACTGAAATGTTTCAGATCATCAAACAAATTGAAATATTAGACAAAGATAACACAAGTAAACACAAAATGCAGTTTTTAAATGAAGGTTTTTAAATGAACCTTTTCCAGACTGATAAATCTCAATTACTCTGTTTCTCATTTGTTCCTGAATTTCTTTGGATTACAGCTTGATGTCTAGCTTTTGAGGATCTTTTGGTCTGCTTCACTTTGTCAGGCAGGTCCTATTTAAGTGATTTCTTGATTGAGAACAGGTGTGGCAGTAATCAGGTCTGAGTGTGGCTAGAGAAATTGAACTCAGCTTTCCAAAAGATGTGATAAACCACAGTTGATATATGTTTTAACAAGGGGGGCAATCACTTTTTCACACAGGGCCATGTAGGTTTGGATTTTTTTTCCCCTTAATAATAAAAACCTTCATTTAAAAACTGCATTTTGTGTTTACTTGTGTTATCTTTGTCTAATATTTCAATTTGTTTGATGATCTGAAACATTTCAGTGTGACAAACATGCAAAAAAATAAGAAATCAGGAAGGGGGCAAACACTTTTTCACACCACTGTATATGTTTGCAATAGGATATTTCAAAGGCCAAAAATCACAATACATAAACCTAAACCCAGCTTTAGATATCACTACCATGGTTACATTTTACTGAAAGTCAGGTAAATTTCCTCAGATGTAAGAAAACTGTAGAATTTATCTGGAGAAAACATCATCAGCAATTTATTTTTAGAAAATGGATTTTTATCATGGTACGGCGGTTAGGGCTGTTGCCTTACAGCTTTAGCTTCCCTGTGGTTGATGCTGATCTGAGGTGCCAACTGTATGGAACCCAGTTTGCGTGGGCTTTCACCAGGTGCTCTAATTTCCTCCCGCCTCCCAAAATCATGCTGGTTAGGTGATTGACCTATTTAAATTGTCCATTCCATGAGAAAGGGATTTTGGCACCACATTTTATTTATACGGTACCACTCTGTTAGGAATGGCCATGATGTCTTCCCACATTATGCTTAGATTTAAGTATGAGGCTATGTGAGTCTTTAGTGAAATTTCATAGGTATTCCAGGTTTATTTGTATCAAAATACAGATAGCGTTTAACAGTTTATTTTTCCCATTGTTAAAGACAGCTGTTTTATTGATTTTTTTCTAAAGAAATGTAAGATAGGAAAATGTGTGTTATTGTTTGCTGCAGGTTGGCCCCAGTGAAAATGAAAATTACTACCCTATTATAAATGGTGTCAACAGTGTGAGCCGATATGGTATGTTAATTTTTTTTTAATTATATGCAATAAAAGTATATGTTCTATGCAAATTGTATGTTATATGTTATATGTAAGGCTGTTGTAAAATTTTTGATCCTCTTCATTACAGCTGGACCTTTGCATTAAAACCATACAGTATATATTAACAGTGTTATTTGAGCTAATTTCCAGTTCTCATCCAAGATTTCATATCATATTCACTTGATTAAGTTTGTACTAACGTGGTCTAATCTAAAATGGATTTTGAAATTGATTTACTAAACTGTTTTCAGGTAAGAATGCTGTTCTGGAATCATTAAACTTGATGAGCCTTCTGCCGAATTCTACAGCCAAGTATTTCATATACAATGGTTCTTTGACAACGCCTCCATGTACAGAAAAAGTCCAATGGATTGTCTTTAAACACACTGTCAGTATATCTGAAGACCAGGTGAGTTCATTTCATGTCTGTTGTGCCAAACTACAAAACAGATCTGTAAATATGCTCAACACTGCTCACAGTGCTTGGCTTCCTAGTGGAACCGCACTTTGGCTGGTGAGGCTTTTGTGCATTTCTTTAGAAGAAAGGCTCTTCAAGTTCTAAAAATGCTCAAAGGGTTGAACTGAAGGGAAAAAGTCGATGTAAATTTATCCCTGAGGTTATTTACCATTTACATCTGGATGTTGAGCTTTTGTGATTGTCATACAATGCTCTCTTAAAGTATAGGAACATCAAAGTCAAAACTTGTATTTTTGTTTTACGGTCAAACAATTGTATTTACAACCATGATTGATATGGACAAATAAGTACAGTATGTTTTATTGTGTAATTCTGTGAATTTGATAAAAATAGAACAAAAACAAAATGTTCAGATTCAGTTTAAACTATTGGGACATTGCACTTAAGTGCATTTCAGAGTATATTGTGTCAGTATTGCGGTGTATATCCATTTGAAGCAATACCTGCATGAAATATGTGACCCATTAAATCTCACTACACCCTGTAATCATTTGAAATGGTTTGTCAGAATTTTGTTGTGGCCACTTTGAATTATTGTCTGTTGTTGAAGTAGTTTTACTTTGTAGTCTGTTTCTTCAAAATGTAAATACTTGGTTAGTTGGATTTAAATCTGTATATTGATTTGAGTTGTCAAAGATTTTCCACTTTTTTGTCCTGATGAACTCCTTTTTTGCATTAGTAGTATCCTGTAGGTAACGGTCATGTACTGTACTGCATGGTGACTCTTTAGGTACAGTATGTAAGCATTTTCTTGTATATTGGCAGAGCAAATGTTCCTTTAACCTTAAAAATCCATATTTACTGCTACCATCATTAGTTACATAATCAAAAACCACAAAGTAAGCCATTGCAGGACATATTCTTCCTAGAAGAATCTGTAGCATAGAAGAGGTAATAGCCTAGTGATGTACAGTATGGCCACCTCTGGTTTGCCTTTATTGATGATTTTTCAAATATGATCAGATTTATGCATGCAATTTCCCTAAAATAAAACAATGATTTAATTAATTTTTAGTTTTATTAACCTTATGATCACAAAATACAAATAATTTTTTTATACAATAATTAGATTTTGCCGTCCCAGGAAGGTACTGAAAAACTGAATTTTTTAACAATTGTCAATTGTATGTTTGGTTTGTATTCAAACTTCAGCCATTACACAGTTGCAATTTACCACTGTGCCAGTGGAACACACCTCCCACTGCAGTCCCCGCTCCGCGGCGCGTGGGAATGCGCAGCGACCACACCTGAGGCTGATCAGGTCTGCGCTTTAAGATCCCCACGCGACCGCAGATGGTGTGCAAGCTTAGGATTGAATGTGTTTGCAAGTTGGTCACACAAGCAATTGCTTCCTCATATATAAGAGGATTTTTGCTCCTCATTCGAAAGGGATTCTCTCGTATACTGGAGAATAGTCACCTCCGCAGACGACTTCACACCGGTACACCGCACAGGAATAAGAAGCTCAAGCAACACCCTATTAGTTCCGCACCCCCTTCAGAATTCTTTTATTTGTCGTAATGCCTTTATTCTTTTGGACATTAACTGCAAGCTCTGAATCATAAACCAATGCACTTTTCCTGTCGAAGTCAGAGTACAAACTGTATCAATATGTTTAACCCAGTCTGTTGTCCATGCTATCTCAAAAAGACCTGTATAGTTTCTTGACCGTTATTATATAATAACGTTATTATTATATGTCATTTATATATTTAATACGTTTACAAGTTTTTCTTGATATTCACAATGAAAACCAAAAAGCTTGCAGGCAAGCTACTTAAATGTTGTTGCAGAACAGCAAAGGCAATATTTTGTTTTATGGAACTTTGATTAATGTTTAAGGAATATAACTTCATTATTACTGTATGTATTTTTCATTGCATATGTGGACAACCACTTATTGTTTTGATTTTGTCTGATTACCACAACATTTTTAACACATGAAATTATATTTAAATAAATTTTAAGAGTTTTGAAATATTGACAAAAAAAATACAGTGTATCGTTTCATGCATTATCAGCCAGTGATAATGCATACAGATCAGGAGCCATAAATTAAATGGTTATTTTCATAGAGAAAAACATGTGAAGCATTCATATTCAAAATTTTAACTGTAAAATTCTTAGTGTAGGGAATTAGTAGGAATAACATCTAAAATCTAAATACATCATTTGATTTCCATGCAAGACAACACAAAAAAAACACGTTGGTACAAAAGACTTGGTACGTTTGAACATATTCACATATTTCTCATTGCTTTAAAGCATGTTAAGAAACAACCATTATACATTTAGGTGCACAGAAGAGGCGTCACCTAGAACTGCAGGTATAAGTGTTATGTGTGAATGCCTGAATGCCCCTAGCATCATTTGGAAAATATAGTAATTTAATATTATAGCATCACATCAACAGCATCCCCCAATATGCTTTGACTCATTGGTGCCACATTCATGACATGTTATGCCAGTTCAATTGTAGGAAAACTGATGGATATGATGTATTATAACAAAAACATTTCAAAACTGTACTAAAGCCTACCTAGCATTCAATAGGATTCACTACATAGAGAAAGAAAAGATAGCCTCAGGAATACAGCACATTTCACAGCAATGTGGAAGGTTTAAGAATTCAGCTTGGAAGTTCAACTTGGGCAAGATTCAACTTGGAAGAGCAAATACGATTCTTCAGCAGAATGGAATGTTAATCTGTTTTCTGATGTACAGTACTTTTTTATTCAACTTTTTACTTGCACCTAGGTGGGGTGTTGGAAGTTTCAGCTTATTATGAATTTATTTACTATACTTTAAGTAGGAACAAGATGGGATACTTATAGCAAGATGAGGCCATTTGGCCCATTTATCAATTTTTTTTTCCTAATTACTCCACTGATCGATTGACAAAGAGGAGCTCACACAGCCCTAGATATAACTGATCGTTGCACTTTGAACTATTATATTATAGCATCCCTATCAATTCCAGTAAATATTTAATTGTTTCCTTTGTTTATTTTTGGGAAGAAACTGCCCACCATATCTTTGAAGCAAAGCTCCTGGACTCAGTTTTTGTTCTCCTTGAATTTCTGTGAGAAAGGAATGGATGAGATAATCAGATCAGATAAGCTAGCCATCAATGAGCAAGATGAACTGAATGGCCTACTCTCATTTGTAACCATTCTTACACTTTTAATGAGAAAGGTCATCAATATTTTTTAAACCCTTTAGAACAATTTAACACATACATGTATACTGTATGTGTATTTTCTTAATTTTAAGCAAGTGCTTCTTACAATTTGTTCAGGGGCTGTAACTGTCACTTTATGAATGCATAACAAGGTTATTAATACTTAAATATGTAACAATACAGAAATTACACATATATTGTAGTCTAATGAGAATTTTCACCTTAAGTCAACTTCAGATCAGACAGTATGCTTACATCTAAATGCACAATGTGGTTTGTGTGCCTTCAAACTTGGAGTTTGATTTCTTGCAATCTCTGCATAATGTCTGGTGCTTTTGTTTCTGTAACTGATTCTGATCCTTTCAAAGCTACCCAAAATAGAATGGTGATTGAATTTATTATGTTTCTTTTAAACTCTATATACTATAGCAAACTATATCAATATTTCACTAGATTTCTGTGGGGGAATCTAGTTGGATGTAATGTAATTTACTGTGATGCAAACAACAAAGTGGTTTCAGTTTTTCTGTAAAATAATGTTCATCTCATGAGATTACTATTGAACTATTAAACCATTTACATATTTAAAGAAGAATATAAAAACTAATGGTTTCCTGATTTCTTTCTGAAAATAAACATTTTTGAAACAGGGTTGCATGTTGTCTGTGTATTGTTCAGCAGGTCAGTCTTCAAAACATTATTAGAGAAGTCTTATATTATAAGGAAGTGCTGAGCCCTACGAAAGTGTGTTATGATATACTGTAGTAGCAAGTTTATAATGTCACTTGTGTAAAGTCTTTCTTTCTTTTTAGCTGGAGGTGTTCTGTGAAGTGCTGACAATGCAGCAGGCAGGGTATGTCATGCTGATGGATTATTTGCAAAACAACTTCAGAGAGCAGCAAGACGTATTCATAGGACAGGTGTTTTCCTCTTACACTGGGACAGAAGAAGTTCATACCCCTGGTACGTATGATGCTTTTACCATGCTTGTATGATGCAGTGCATTTCTGGAAAAATATGCATTGGTAAAACATGAAGAAGTTGGGCCAACTTTCAGGGAATGTGTTAAAGCATCATAGTCTCCCTTTTGCCTATGATTACTCTTTACAGTTTTGTCTGTGCCCTTTCATAGGTCTATTTATCTATCTTTTGTTCTTCTTACCCTCATTTTCCTACCCTCTCCCTAATTGCCCTACACACCTGCAGAATGCTCCATAGCCGAAACGTTGCTGTTTCTTTTTCTTTACTTTTCAGTGTGGAATTAACCTCCAATTGTTCCTTTCCCATTTGTTCAATCACCCCCACTCTAATCAGCATTGTGCGGTGTGTGCAGTTGGATCTCAAATCTAGTTATCTCAGAGGTATCTTAAGCACTTTTGAATGCCTTACCTGAACAGCCCAGACGAGTATCACAACTACTATGACAAAAGTCCAGCTCTTTGATGCAGAAGTATTTGAACACTACTGATAATCCTATCATTCTCAATGATCAATAGGAAGTTAAGTCTTTCTAATCTAAGTTATAGCAAAAAAAGGTGTTTAAAACTTTGGACTCTAATCACAATCTCAGGCATTAATGAGACCCTTAACAATTATATGAATTGATCAAGGCATAGTTCATATCTGTGGTATTCAGTCCTATTAATCTGGGGTGCTGTCTGCGTGGATTTTTTATGTTGTGTTTGCGGAATTTCCTGTGGTTGCTCCAGTTTCCTCCCACAGTCCAAAGACATACTGGTAGGTCAATTGGCTTCTGGGAGACTGTCCCTGGTATGTGTGTATCTGTGTCTGTGTGTGCCCTGCAATGAAATGGCATCCTATCCAGGGTGTACCCTGCCATGCACCTTTTGCTTGCTGGCTCCCCCTCATCAATTGGATGAGGCAGGTAGAAAATGGATGGATGGGTCAGTCCATTAAATATGACTCAAATGGATCAGCAAATTTTACTCATTGAAGTCAGACTTGGATGTATCCTAGAGTACAAAGACAGGAGTTAAGCAGGACCTCCTCTGTCATGTAGATGTTTCACAACAGTGCTGGCAATAATCCTTAAGGAGAGATTGAGAACTATTTTTTTTGTGCAAAAAATGAAAAATGTTGTAAGGGTATATCATTCAGTTCATGACAACTTACACAGTGACTTGAAAAAGTATTAAGACTTGGCTTTTTTCACATTTTGTTGCGTTAAGGCTTGAAATCATGGCACTGAGGTAGATATTAATACAGTATATGTTATATACACAACCAAAAAGAAAGATGTATAGATATATGTATATAAAGAAATAAATCATATAAAATAAAAATGGAAAAGTCCTGAAAGCATAAGTATTCAAATCCTTTGCTGCAACAAACTTAAATTAATGTAGGTGCACAAAATTACCATAAAAAAACTACACAGTTATTACAACACATTTTGTAAAGTCTCTCACTCTTTTGTATTTAGGGCAAAGTTCCAACAATAAAACCAAGGGGCTTTAATCACTTCAGGGATAGAGTTGTATAAAGGCACAGATCAGGAGAAAAGTAAAAAATAAAACATTTCAACATGATTAATATTTCTTTGAGCATGGTGAAGTCAGTCCTTGCGAAGTGAGAGGTATACTGCATCCTTAATATCTTAAAGTGATATTATTCACTTCAGTTGATGTTATTAGTTTGTTTTATAGAATTTCATATTACCATAAAATCACTTGATACCATTTATTTTACTGTACTTAGTTTCATTTTTATATATATATATTTAAAATTCTTGAATATGTGAGTAATAGATGTAATTATGGTATTTATAGAAAGCCACATTGTAATGTGCATCCTTATTATACAGTACAAGTGTTCTGTTTTGCATTGATATATTTATAACTTATCCTACTAAGATGTTGATTATCTTGTCATCTTTTGCATTGATATTTTATTTTCTAAGGGTAGTTTCATCTTGCAATTTAATAGTGTCACAAAAAGCAGGTTATTCATCTCTACTATATACAGATGTTAACAAAACAATCTATTCTTTGAAGGGAAAATGTTTCTGTGCCCTCATGTTTTTAGGAATACCCCCTGGCATGTGTTACATGCTCAAGTGCTCCATAATAATTGTGGGAATTGTTGGGCAGACGTTCAGAAAACTCAATTTTCTTGCCTCGTTTTAGATATCAGCTGCAAAGTTTTAATTAATAAATGATAATCAAATTGAAAGTTCCATTTTATGCCTAAATGTTGCAGGCAATTTCTACAGAACACTGTAATGTTTTCTAGTAAGTTCAAATGTACTTTGCAATGTATTTTAACATTGCAAAGTAGAAAATCCATTCTTATATTCAGCTATAACATAAACAATGGGATTATTAAAGTCTATGCATTAGGATATATTAAAGTATCAGAAATTCACTTACAAATTCAGTAAATCAATGAACAAGAAAATTCAGCTAATGGTCAAAATTTGCCATTGCGAAATTGAACATTATTAAATGTATTTATATCCATTGTGTTTTTACTTTTCCTACAAGAACAATTCTTACAAATAAACTGATACAAAATAGACCATAGGCGAGTTTTTGCTAAATTGAAGAAGATAGCTGCCAGTGGCAGAAACACATTGATTAAAATGTCATTTGGTACAGGGATGAAGTGTGCACTGAAGGTTTTTCCCTCTACCTGTACTGTATATTATTGTCATTGTCTTTGTGCGGACTGGTTAACCGCCAACCTGCCACTAGAGGCCGTTAAAGGTCTCTATTTTGCGTAAATAGACACAGCGGGTTATAATTAGGTAATTTGTGAAGGGTTTACACGGATAAATTCTCACATAGGTTTGAAAACTTAACTGAGGTATGTCCCAGGGTGATAACTGAAGTTGGGGAGTTACTGTAGGAGCCTGGAGAGGCTGCTTTGTAGTATTATACAGTACATATTAGCAGAAAGGTCTCTGCGATAATACCTCTTGCTCTATCCAATATCATCTATTGTGGGCTTTTATGTGTTTGGAGCCCTTGAGTCATCTTATTTAAGGTGGGTGGTATCTGTCACAGTTATGTTTTGTTTGCTGCTTTTTAAGGATTGAGAAACTAAAAGCAGTACCATTCTGTGAAACTGTGGTATTGCAATAAAGCCTGTTGAGGATACGTGATGTTTATTCATTGAATGTCTTGTTAAAGTTGGTCTGAAGACAGTGGGTTTATGACAGGAGTTCAAAATCCCTCTAGATGCTGTATCTTTATTTTGTTCCATTCTGAATTTTCAAATGACAGGCCAGGATTTTTTAGAAGCAAACAGACTGCTGTATGTTGCTAGGTTACTGTGGATTGCAGCTGCATCTTGCACTCTTATCCAAGTTTTGTTTAATTCTCCTTCTTCTAATACTGATTTTTCCATTATTGCAATTGCTTCTTCATTAAATGGAAATTGGATTAAAACTACCATGTTTCAGTGTATTAGCTGGAATGAGTCAAACTGCATCCTTAATAGCTTAAAATTTGTTATTCACATCTATTAGAAATAAAAGAATATGTAGTTTCTTGAGGTACAGCACAGCATGTCCACTGCTGGAATATATCTTCATGAATTACTATTACTATAATTCGGTTTTTATGGATTGTTAAGTATTATTCTAGAATAAAATGCTGTCGTTATGAATTGTCATTTTATTGTAGAGTTTCTCTGCCCTCTTGTGTTGAAAATATTTTTTTCAAGTACAGTTCTTAAATGAGGGATGTAGTAATTCATTTAAGAGTAGATTCATGTTAAACAGCATTCTCCTAAATATGTGGTCATTAGAAATATTAAAAGAAAAACATAATAAATTGTTGAGAATAACAACACACATGATTCAGACAACCAACTTAAAAATCAATAATACTGCATCAATAACTGCCAGAACATTGTTTTGAAGTAGGGGTTGGATTTAGATCCAATATGATACATATAAATCATTTGCTTTATGACTCCTCTAAAGTTTAAAAAATCAGCCTATAGAATGAAGTAATTTACTTATCTTTTTGTGAAGTCATCTTAATTAAGTCACCCAAACATCAATACAGTAAATGATTTCATAACCCCAAAGTGTTGTAGAACATACCATATGGTTTACATTTATATTGTGCAATTTTGTGTTCCTCAGGGAATAGGTGAAGTGATATCAACTTATTTGATAATAGATAAACATACTGTATTAAATGCACAAGGACAAACATTTCTTTATAGTTTCAAAACCTGTGAGATTAAGGAAAACCTTACTTTTATGCAGAATGATTTTGTTCTGATCCATGTATTATATGTATTACCATATGTCCTCATTTTATTATTTTGTCTTAACATTCAAAAACTGAAAGAACTGTTTTGTAATTACTAATGTTTTTTTTTCTTATCCTGTGTGTTTTGTTAAGCTTCTATTTCCGTTTCAGTGCTATTTAGGAAAGACTAATCTGTAAGTCTCTTTTGTGTCTTAGTGTGTCTGCAATAGGAATTGCTATTTAAACATAATCTCTTGGACTTGTCCAATATAGTTTAGTCTGACTTATTTATACCTATGTTAAAAGAAGATAATATAATGAAGTGAAGTAGTAATAAATCAACAACAAGCAAAATTCCTTGACAAACCTGTTTGACAGACTTATTTTTGTGCGAAGAGCAAGCCGATTATTCACATCCATACTGCCAAGTAGGCAAACATACTTTATGGTAATTAATGAAACCAAGGTGACTGACATATTACCTACAAAAAATCCTAAAGGAGAAAACAACTACAATGCAATACTGTCTATCATTTTCACCTCTTTCTGTTTACAAGCTATTTTGGAAGAATTAAAAGAAGGTTTTGGATATTATAACAAGTTACATTGATCACTTTAGAGACTGGCCATTGATTCCCTACTTCAATGAAAGTAGTTCATGTAAAAATCTTAGTGAATTCAAGCAATGTACTTTTTTCCATGAAGGAAACCATCTCCGTTTTCTGCAGAAATGAAAAACTTAACACAAAAATGTTTAGTATGGGTTGTTTTTTATTTTTTGAAAGTTTGCAGTTCAAAACCAGAAAATATCCAGGCGGATCCAAAGAATTACACCAGCATCCTGGTCACATGGGAGAGGCCCCGGGTTGTGTACGATGAAGTTATTGAAAAGTACTCTGTAACATATCAGAACCTTGCAGGGAAAGATCAGACCAAGCATGAATATTTGACGGATGAAGACCAGGATACGGTAACTACATGTTTAGAATTTTACAGAATTGTAAAGAAGGAGCATTAAGAAGAAGTGAGCCAAAGTCCAAAGGAGCATTAAGAAGACAACACTGCCAAAGTGACACATTCAACTAAAACGAGTACTTCAGTTGGATATACAGTATGTTTTTCCTTAGTGTACATCTTGCACACTCTTCATCCTCCTTCTGGGGTGACCAGAAAACGTAGGCAATTCCCAATCTAAAACAATATATGGTACCCATGGCATTCAGCAATCAGTGAGTTCATAAAATAAAACATTTTATCTTGAAGAAAGCAGGTTCCACATAGATCTTAGATCAGCTTATCTGTCTGAGCCATAACATGTTTAATGTTGCATTGCCCCCTTTATATACTGTAAGAGAATGTTAAGGTAAGCTTTATGCTTTTAAGTTCTGTTTATATAGATAGCTGGTCAGATATGAAATCTGAATTTTTAAAGTAATTACAAGAGTTTGTTTCAGAAAAGTGTATTTGTTGCCCTTTCAATGCACTCAGTTTTCCACTGTAAATGTTAACACTAAGAAAATAATTTAACTACTGTAAGATATGAATATCTTGTTAATTTACCACATTTATTATATTCTAAATTGTTAAGGCTTTGAATTTGTTTTTAATTTCATTTCAGGGTGCTATTATACATGATTTGTTAGCCAATACAAGTTATGTGATCCAGGTTGTCGCTGTGTGCACCAATGGCCTTTATGGTCAACACAGTAGTCAGTTGATTGTGGATATGCCTTTGGATGACCCTGGTAAGTATGAAAGTATCAGTTAAAAGCTTTTCTATTGGTATTTTTTGTATAATTGCTTTCATTAGTTGAATCAATTCAAAATATGGCAAAATGGAACTTCTTTTTAAAATCTTTTGCAAACCAGTTTATGTACATTTAATGTATGTCTAAAAATCAGTGTAGTCAGAGTGCTTACTATGAATAATGTTTTGAAAACATTGGTAGTTCAAAAAATTAAATGACAGATACCATAATGCTCTTTTACAAGCACTTAAATAAGAGATGAAAATGCAAATGGAGATAGTACTAGAACAGTATGAAATAGAATTAACACATTGTTTTATTCACTTTTCAGTTGCAGTGATAATGTCCATAGATCTGTAGCAGGGGAAAAAAGAAATGGTGGTTTACTGTCTTTGATGATTTATGTCATGGATTACCTTTGTGACTTTTTTTTGTTTTGTCACTACTAGTGGTATAAACCATTTTTTATTTTTATTATTTTTTCAGGATATTTTGTAAGTTTTAGGCAATCCATAAAATCATAGAAACTACGGTATAACGAAGTTATACAGATCTAAAGTTCTTTTTAATACAGTTTTGTATTCAGCTCTATCTGAATTGCCAGTCATTCTTGTCAATGTTTCTGAAAAGTGATGCCAGTGAGGCTGTTTACATTCTATTTTAAACTCACTTCTCTTTTTCATTTATTTGGTTACTTCTTTATTCTCCACTCAACCAGCGGCTATTTCAGCATTTTTAAAAGCATATTTTATGGGGGGCATGAGTTATTCAGATTGCCAAAGCTTGTAATGCATTAGTGACCTCTTCTAATTTCTCTGTCTGAACACCTGCAGTGTTGTTAATGAGAACTTCATATAACCTTTAATCACTGCTAACTTCCCGTGTGAGCACTGTGGTGCACACAGTGGGTAGAAGTGCAAATGGCATTGGCAAGAGCCATATTCATCCACTGGTGCCAGTATGAGTGCCATCTTAGAGACCTTACTGGATTAAATATTGGCAACTCCACAAGTGGGGACCTCAATTGGGATGGGAGCATAACTGTCCCTCTTTCATACTTACCTGACACTTACACAAGGTCTGAAGCGAGCATGACTCCATATGAAGGGAAGACATGTGGAAAAAAGAATATAATAAATGAACACATAATGATTAAAAAAAATGAAGATAGGTGGTAGGTGATATACAGTACCACTGTCAAATTACAAATAATATGATAGCTTTTCTTTTTGTTCTCTCTGATTTCTTTTTATCCTGAAATGTTGCAACTCAAGTTTACATTTGATTCTATTTTCACATGGAGGAGAAAAATAAGTAAAACTATAAAACAAATGGCAATGTAAATTAAATAATTTTTTACAAAGACAATGAGCACAGATAAAAGACTGAGTGAAGATTGGATTCTACTCGATGCCCCTCATCGTTTCAAATATTGACCGATGTGTAACTTTTTACGTGGAATGTCTGCAGTGCAGAAACATTTTATAGATCCCAGTGGGAAAAAGATAGTGTTTGTTAGTCTTACCTTTGTCTTCTCAACTTTGAGGTTAAGGTGTTCACCAAGTGGTGTCATTTTTTAATATGGGGAAAGTATGAATTCCATAAATTCATATTTCAATGAAATATCACTTGAAGGAGTTGGTAATTTTTTGTTATTTCCATGAATGATAGTAAAAGGTTTGAATATCTGCCTCTGACTACACTGATCTTTAGGATGACTTTGCTGCTTTTTAATGAATGGTGGTGGGATTCCCGTTCAGATACCTTTACTATGCTAAATATTGGCCTCTTTTGCACTCTGTATGTACAATGTGTACAGTATTTGGCTGGTATAAATCTGTACTTCTGCTCTTTCTTTGATGTTGTAAATCAATGCTATTTTTTCACTCCAGATGTTTACTGTTTAAATTGAGCTTAAGGTAGTTTTAAACTGTCTAGCTAATGAGAGTGCTATGTACTGCATGCTAAGAATTGGAAGTAATATGAGCTACATTATAGTAACTGGATATTATACAGTCAGTGTTTGATATTTCAAACAATATGAAAAGTGAAGGTATTCAAAAGTAAAGTAAGAACATATGCCACAATTTGGCATCTTAAATGAATGTTACCTTGTGATGCTACAGTATATACAGTATATATAAATGTGTCATATGTCCCAGGAAAACAAGGATCTTTAAAAAAAACTTTAGGTTATATATGAAGTCAAGCACAGAATCAATAATTATGGTTAGGATTTTTTTTATTGACTTTGTTAAATATTTAAAAAATAAAATGTTTGAATATTCATATACAACATTATTTTAGTTTATTTTTTTGTACAATCTAGTTATTTAATCTGTGTGAGTGTATTTTTGGACACATTTCACAGAGCTCTGTAACATGTTCTCTAATAGATTCCCTTTAGTTGGTTTAAAACCAAAAGTGCTCTCATGACCCTCCTAAGACCTTGGGAATCTTATCACCATTTTCTGTAGCATAGTCACAGCAACAAGGTAAGTTTACCTTAAATGTTGATATACACTGGGGAATTTCAAGTGCATGAAGTCTGTATTCACACATTTCAATCACACATCTAATAATATTTTTAAATCAGACTTTAAAAATAACTATTTAACAATTTTTCACAGGATGCATAATGTGCAATGGTGGTTGTGGCATAATCTTTATTCTAACAATCTTTTTTTCATCTTACAGAAATCTATTCACAATTAAATTGATTTTACCATTCCTAACCTTACATCTTGATATCCTGCTGTCATAAAATTCTAATTTAATATTCAAGAGAATGTATTTATATACTGCTCACATAATATAGGAGATATTTTGATTTTAAAGCACACAATCAAATAGCAAAAATACAATCCAGAGCTGACATCAATTACATGAGTGGATTTAAAAGTAAATTTAACGAAAATGCATTGAATCACTTTGGTAATGTATAAGTTGTACAATTGAACAAAGTGTTTCAGAATTGGTTATTAGACAGACTCTTGATTCCAGTTCCAACAAAGCAAAAATGTCATTAATAGTATTAATCTACAGTTGCTGCTATAGCAGGCTGTAGATGATATCATTGCTATACTGTGTGACATAGGTCATTTGTAATAAATTGAGTCAGATGACTGAGATGACCAAGATTGGTTCTTGTGTAATGTGGGTGAGCGTTAATGAGCTCCTGTACCTCCTGTAGTCCTGTTGCAGTATGACTAGAAGGGCTTGCTGATATATTATTATATATAGGTCAGGTATATGCCAGACATGTCACCCATAGAAAGTCTTTAGAGCATCCTGGGAAGAAACTAAAAAGGTGTTGATTATAGTATGCCCACAAACCTGCAGTGGCTTGTTGTCTTACCCCACAGGTGAAACCAGGTCACCTCTAGTATGAGATATCACAACCAAGCCTGCCCGGCTTACTTAAAAAATTGCACAAACCTTTTACTGAAGGCATATAAATACAGTGTGCCTACCTCATGTGAGCACTTCAAACTTGGGAGTGACACTTGCATAACTGCTATAGTGTTTTAATGATACATGTTTCAGAATGATACATGTAATTTCTTGCTATGAGTTGAATTCCCAATCGCTTGTGATTTGTTGGATTTTATTCTATCAATCTTGTATCACCTACTTTTAGTGAGCAGTTTATACAATGTTTTAAATTGAGAAAAATATTGGAGAGGGTAAGCAAGTGTACTTTAAGCACTTTAAGTTGTTCTTGCATTTTTTCATATTTATCTGTTGCTTTTGGTGCATTACAAGCAACTGCAATGCCCGGCTTTGAATGTTTCATCTTTAGTTTCAGATTTTTCTTGCACGTTATCTTATTTTTCCTAGAATACCTTCTAATGTCTATGCTTTATATACATACCTTTTAAGTATCTTTTATTCTCTCCCTGCATTCTCTTGCCTCTGAAGATAAATTCAGATGATATCACATTTGTATTACTTGTTTGGTTCTTGTTTAAAGATGTCTAAAAAAGAAGAAATACATTTTCTTCCTATAAAAAACCAAATTTGATATGTTAAAATATACCTTTATTCAAACAGAATCCAATCATTACAAACATTTACAGATATTTGACCATCATAATGGACTTGAAAGTGTTAAAAATGTCCTGGTATACTAAAAAATCCTAAATTCTTCAATTTTCTGAATAATAAGCTCTCAAATTAATGTGCCTCGGCTTAATAAATGCTGTTCTTGAAAACCAGACTGGTTGCCTTAACTGAAAACTTTTTGAAACTCATTTTTCTAGAGTTTCAAAGCTGATTAATAAGAAATGTAAATAAGCTCAAACTGAATGGTTTTCAGTTCAAAGAAATTCTGCAAACTTGCAAATGTGTTTTAAAATGGATTGCTTTAATTTATTTCCTACTATGTTTTCATTTACAGTTAAATCACATTGATCAAAAAATATTACTGAATGTTTTTTGTTTGTTCGGGATCTTTTTAGCAATCTCTGTTTTTTGTTGAAAATCCTGATTCTCAGAAAATGAGGGAAAGATTGACCAAATTGATTAAGTCAATGAGTCAGTTGATCATTTTGACAACACAAATGTCAGTTGAGTCAACATGCAGGTTACAGAGTTGAGAAAAAACTGAAAACTGATGTAGCCTCCATTGATCACATGATGGTAAACTGTAGGTATATGAATCCATAATCAATTGTATCTGCAATTAGCCATGCTTAAAGCTATGAGAAAGCAAAGACCTCAAAATATTGCATGAAATTTAAGGTTTAGTTAGCATAATAAAAATGTTAAAATATTTCAGTATTGGACTGTACAATAGCATTTTATGGGTAAATGCTACGAAGACAAAATGCATGAATTAGAACTATAGAATCCAGAGTAAGGCCAGTAATATCAAATAATTTGCTGACATCTAAAGTGTTCCCAATATTGGAAAGGAATCTTGCTAGCATTAAGCGCATAGACCACATTTTGACATTTTGTGTCAGAAATATTTTTTCAATGAATGTTAAATACAGGGATGGTGAAAATAGAAATTTTGATGAATTGGCAGAATATGGTGTATCATTTAATTTCTTTAGAAAAATGTGTGATGCTTAAGCAGGTATCTTCACACACAAAAGCAAAAGTAATTACTAATCTTTTATCCTCAGGAGAGGCATATCTCTTACAGATTAGGTGCTCATGATTTACTGAATACTGCTGAAGAAAAGAAGAAAAACATTTTCAACCTCCTCTTTGTTTACTGTTAACAATCACTGCAAAAACAAATACACTGCATCATCACTTTTTATTTATGATATACAGTGTACATGCTGGATTTGATTTGAAACATATACTAAAAAGTATATATAGTTCATCAATCAGAATGATTTTTATTCTACATTATGTGAATGAAAACATAATTGCTCAGAATTCAAGCAATCCAAAAATAATGGCTGGATGACCAAACAATTCATTAAGTATATTGGGAATATTTGATTAAAATTACTTGTTAAGATTTCTAAATGCAGTAGTGGATAGATATAAATTGGTGGCAGTTCAGTGAAATCGCACAGTGCTGTATTCCTAATATATATATATAAGATATTTGTGATTCTTTAAAAAATGTATGATAATTTATTTAGAATATCCAGCCCTTATTTTACAGATTCAGATATATTTTCTGAAAATATTAAATTTGGTTATACAGTATGTCTTGATATTTTTTTAGATTACCTGAATTGGTTAGTCTGAATTATTCCAATATTTTTTTTTTCAATCAAAAAGTCCTTGAGTGGTATTTCTAAAATTATGGGCTTTGTTTTCCAGAGACTGAACCCTTACCTGATTTTAATGAAACTGAAGAAGCAACAGATGAGTTGGAGGTAATAGTATCAGGGGATCTCAAAGTTATCATAAGCTGTGTGGAGCTTGCATATTGTCTTTGTATTTACATGGATTTTCATTTTATGAAATACAAATTCTTCCCAAAGTACATGAGTTGGGTTTGATTGGTTACTCTTAATTGTCCCTTTCTTGTTTGGGACCAACTATTTTCCAATATGGCAGAGCGGTGGCTCTGTGGCTAAGGATCTGCGCCTGTGACTGGAAGGTTGCCGGTTCAAATCCCGCGGCCGGCAAAGGAATCCTACTCCGATGGGCCCCTGAGCAAGGCCCTTAACCCCAACTGCTCCAGGGGCGCCGTACAATGGCAGACCCTGCGCTCTGACCCCAAGCTTCTCTCCCTGTCTCTGTGTCAGTGTCTCCCTGGAGAAAAGCTGGGGTATGCAAAAAGATGCATTCCTAATGCAAGAAATTGTATAGGGCTAATAAAGAAATATTATTATTATTATTATTATTACTTATGTGTGACTAAAATAGAACCAGATGAGCATGATGGCTTGAATGGACTCCTGTCATTAGTATTTATTCTGATTTTCTGGTGTTCTGTAATTGTAAACTTATTAAACTGAACTATGCACTGACTAGATCCCAGTGAGGAAGGTATTTCTTTTCCCCACTTGAATACAGTACCTAACCATGAAAAGAGAAGGTTTGATTCCTCTCTCCCCTACAGGTCAGTGCACTGCAAATAAAAACATACTGCTCAGTGCTAGTTACTAGTTACACATTGATTTGAGAAATCATCTTTTGAACTTCTTCACTTAATATACAGTGCCTCTGAAATGCATTTATTCAAAATGTATTTGTTGAATATTAATTATTTATAACCAAATGTTGATGAAAATATTTTAATGAAAATGAAAGAAGTTAAATCTCATCTGGAAAGAAATTCAAGTCTAAAAGGTGCTGATTACATAAATCACTTCCTGAATCAGTACTTAGTGGAAGCACTTTTGGCAGCAATTAAAGCTGTAAGACATATTGGATAAGTTTCTAGAAGCTTTGTGAATGTCCATTAATGTCCAACCAACCTGTTCAAATACTATGAAAGATCCCTTATATATTATTAATATCATTCTCATTCTTTCTAAGGTGAAGTCTAATATGAACCCAAGAAAGAAACTTCCAAACTCCAGAGTCTTCAATAAGATGAGTAATAAAATGGAAACTGCACAGCCTATCACTGTCCCATACGAAGATATGAAGGAAATCTCACCTTACAGTGCCATGACCAAAGAGTTGTCTGTGGAAAGCTATTACAACCTGAGCACAAAAATTGCACCTGTTACAAAAGAAGCCCATTCCTTGGATAGAGAGACTTCAGAAACAGACAGGTTTGCTGTGCTTTACCCTCACACCAAATCTGTCACACAGCCAACTCAGCAGAATGTCACTGAAACAGAGAAAACATATCTAGATTACCAAACCTACACTACTTTTCAGCCCGAGGGAAGAGCTATTACAGAGGACTATATAGAATTCCAAGCCACAACAGAGAGCCCCAGCAACTTTCAAACAACAAGCAACACAACTATTTTTAGCCCTAGTGGAATCACAGAATCATCTGAAGGCTCTTCTCTGAAAAATGTCAGTGGTCCTACTCGACCAAGAAACCCCATTGTTGTGACAGATATTTACTATGAAGATGTTGTGAATGCAACCAGCTATGAATTTTCAACAGGACCAACTTCTTCAACTCTTGAGGGTGAGATCTTTAGCAATGTCACAGCATCTCCAGACAAATTTGATCACCCCTCTTCTGCTGAGAATTTCACAGGGAATACAGTGGCAGTTAATGTCACCCCTACTGACACCAGTGGTGAGGTGATATTTCGGAGTACTCCTTTCCCACATTTACCTGTCAATACTACCTCTGCACTGTCCCATGTAGAGGTCTTGCCACTTTCTACAAGTCCAGATCTGGGTGCTCAACGTCCATCTACTGTCAACATTGACATTCTGTCTCAAACAACTCAACCTGTGTTTAATGGTGAGATACCACTTCCAACTACGTCTGGTTCCCCTGTTAGTGATGTGCTTTTCCTTCCTGACCCTGCATTAACTGATACCCAGATGTTGCATCAAGCTTCCTTTGTTGGCTCAGATACCAAGAGTCCGTTGCATGTTACTCCTTTGTTACCCAGTGTTGCTGTATCGCTTCAGTTAACCCTTCCTTCTTCTAAAGATGTATTTTATGAAACCCCTTCTGCCTCTTCTACTCTTGAGTTGCTTGTTGGTAAACATGCCGTTTCTCAGAGCGATGTGTTTCAGCATGCTATACCCGAGGTGGATAGGGGTGATCTGCATGCTTCAGTGATGTCTGATGGTGACCTGTTCCTTCAGCCTACCCTCACTTTCTCCTCCAGTTTGTCACTGTTAAAATCTACAAATGCTCTGTCTGAGACCTCTGTGTTTGACACTAAGACTGAGACTGACAGTAAAAGTAAAGTTGAAGTTGTTTCCGCTGATAATGTATTGTCTCATGCAACAGCTGTGGCCAAGGTTGATACACAGATTATGCCTACCCTTATTTTATCTAATGATATTCTACCCCTTCAAACTTTACCTGATTCATATGGCACTGCAATATTGTCTAATTCTGACTGGGAAAATCATCACAAGTCTAAACCATTCAGCACTGTTTCTGAAACAAAGTCATCCATGTTTTCCATTTTTGATAAAACTCTTGAATCTTCTATTCCTTTATCCAGTGATGATACTCTGACCATGGCTACTCCTGCCTTCACTGATAGGGATGTGCTTATGTCTCATGCTGGGGGTCATAGTGAGATTCAGCCATTGGGTCATGCTAGCCATGAATCGGTGCATGTGGAATCTGCATTAACAGGTGATGTGTTTTCTGGGTTCACCGCTGCTAGTAAGGATGGAACTTTTCTTCAGATTTCCTCTGCCACTTCTGATCTTGAACCTGCAACTTCTGGTGCTGCTTTTACATCTGCTACTAAGACCTGGGTTCAGATTAATCCATCACACTTTATTAATATTGACTCTTCGCATGAAACTCTGCCTTTATCACAAGATATACTGCTTCTTTATTCTAGTGATTCAGCCACAGTGCAAAACCGCTCTTCCTCTTCCAGCACTGAAACACTTGCTGATGGCTCTGGTAGCTTTTCTGATAGCTCAGTGGATGATGCTTCTCAAGGTCAAGATATGTTTGCCCTTCCCCGTATGCTTTCTGTTTCTACTTTGGGCACCAGCATGGCACAATCACAGGAAGACGCATCTGCTTTTGTTAGTGCTGAAAGATTCCTGCTATCTTCTATTTCTAGTTCTGTCAGCAAAGTAAACCTAAATCCTACCTCAGAAACATCCAGTGGTACTGTTTCCTCTATACACAGTGTAAGCATTAACAATAATAAAGTGCCTCTATTTGGCACCATCACAGCTACTTTTAGTTCATCATTTCTCTTAGGTACACCAGAATCCCAAAGGGAGGAAGCAGTGTCTCACTCTCACAAATGTTTCTCAGGTTGTGATCAAGCTTTGAGTGCAGGCAGAGAAATGATTGAAAGCAGTTACACTGAATTAGCACATTCTACATCTGGTAGTAGCCCACATCAAACATCCTCTTTTCATAGCTCTTGGACACAGCAAAGCATGTATCCCTCAATTCCCCATGAGGTAGACATTCACCCTACCCCTGGACTATCACTCAGTGAGTTGAAATTACTACCTACACCTGAAAACAAACATTTCTGGAATGCGATCCATGGATTGGATACAAGCCAGGTGTTTTCTAGCAATAAGCTATCTCTTGGTTTTCCTAATTCAAAATCCCAGTTGTCTCTCCATTCAGATAGTGATTTGTACGTTTCTGTTACAGCTGCCAGAGCCAGCAGTGAAAGCCCTATAACCCTCATCAATTCGGGTTCTTCCTCTGATATCCAAGTTCTGTCCCAAACCGCCATTCCTGATGCTGATTCCACACCCCCACTTCCCAGGGAACACCAAATAGAGAGCAATACTACCGGTACAGCTCTCTACATAGAATCTCAGGAAGAGTTAGAACAGGATTCGGATAGAAACCAAAGTGTAACCCCTGATAAACCCACACTTCTGTATGCAAAGACAGTGATGGCTAAAGCACTCAATACATCACAAGAAATGCTGAATGGAATGGATCATAACACCGTAACCCCAACTCCAGATGTACCCCGCAGGAGTCATACTTCTGCCTTCCTCTTTAAAAATGATAATGAGACTGTTAGCTTTACAGAAGAAGCAAATACAACAGACTCCAGACCCTGGACATTAGGAAACACAGATGAAGAAAGCGGTTCTGGTCAAGGGACTTCGGAGAGCTTCAACGACAATGAGACTTCTTCAGACTTCAGTATCCCTGACTACTCAGAAAGCGATTCTGATGGTACAACGGATGCAGGTAAAGCTGACTTATCACCAAGAGTGCTACAGCCCTTCAGCACTGTCTTTATCTAATGGGGTTGCAACAGCTGTGTTCAAGATTTCTGAGGCAGGTTAGTTATGGTTAGGCAAATGGCAGTTAAAAAAAAAGGAATGTGCATGGAACCACTAAACTGTGAATGTTTACAAACACTGGGTAACGGAATTACTAACCAGCACGTCTCAGGCAACAGATGTCTAAAACAACCTTTCTTTATAACCCTGTGACACATGGGTAAGGTAAGGTTTGGGGGTTATTAAGATGGAATTTCATCTAACATGCATCATACTATTAATTGTGATTATCATGGCCTTTTTATAGCACATCTAACAACATTGCCATAGATTTTCATAGGTTTAAACCACATAAGGCTTAAAAATTCTGTATCCATCTACTATAATACATTTGTGTTATGTCCATTGTTTAAATATTTGTGTAATTTATATATATACATTTGTGTATATATGCAAAACTCATAATGCATCTACAGTAGGTTGTTAGTGTTCTGGTGTTTAAAAGCATGTCATGTATACAGTTGGCTTTTGCTTCATAGCTATGTATAAGGAGAAACTTTTAACTAATACTAATCTATGAAATTAAAGGTGTGACTGATGTGTGGTCATTAGCATTCTCCCACATTTCAGGTATGTAATAAATTCAATTACATGTTCAAATCCTTTCGTATGAAACATTATGTAAGTGTAAACAACAGTAAGGTAAGTATAATTTGGGCTTTGAATTATAAGAAAATGCAGAAAGAAAATAACACAGTTTTAGTATCGATACTGTACAGACTTTAAACCAGTAAGTGCAAAAGATCATCCACAAGATGGCAGTAGTATACTTCTCCATTCATATGGCAACTGGCTATTTGCAAAACATAGTTTTTCTAGCTGAAGGCTGTGCACTAATATACAGTACATCTTGTCTTTTCAGAGGCTGTGGAGTGATGTACATCTTTAATGTCTGACCCTGCCCAATCATTGTCATCAAATGTTAGAAGCATGGCTGTTATCAGATTTGATGACTGGCACTTGTTAAACAGTCTTGAAATGATTTAGTTCTCTGCCTTTTCACTAACTTCACTCTTCACAGTAGTGCTTATTTAAGTCAAGACTGTTCTGCTTCCCTTTTAGTTTCTCATGCTTGTGATTTACCTGCCACCACTTTCATGTAACAGCATGTATACACTCTTGTGGTCTTTTATTGCAAAAATACAAGAAATGTGCGCTGCCAATCGGATGAAAAAAGGTTTCAGTTTCAAGTCCTTGAAGAATACCAAATGAGAGTAACTTACATTTTCAAAGATATATATTCATAGAGGGCACTGGAAAAATCTAGTAATTTAAAGAATGTTTATTATGAAGTGAAAATCAGGGAAAGCAAGAAATACAAAATGCTTGTTTTATAAAGGTTCAAAAGGATTGGATGAAAAGTTATATTTTATAAAAACTGTCAAAATGTCAAACATTTCCTTGAGTTTTTGCATAGGTTTTAAAGGTAAGTCATAACACGTACTTTGCTTCTGATCCTGTTGCAGTCTGTTTCTGTCCTTTAAATTCATTCAAACTGGTTTGCAAATGATAAAATCCTTTCATGCAGTGAAAAAATACTAAGAGAGTAAGCTGCTTATTTTTCTCCAATGTTTTATTGACAGTAGCAGTTAAATTGGCATAAGGTTTGCTTGAGGGTGAAACATGTCAATATTTGTATTTACTTCACCAACAGAAGCAAGCAACAGTAGCCATGAGTCCCGTATTGGATTAGCGGAAAGTGTTGAAGAGAAACGGGCAATAGTACCTCTGGTGGTGGTATCTACTCTGACTCTCCTGTGTCTCCTGGTCCTTGTGGGGATTCTCGTATATTGGAGGTAGGTACTGTTTAATTAGCATATATGGTAGTTGTCCTGTTGTACCATTAGCATTTTTATCAACATTTCTAAACACTTTACGTTTATTATAGAGCAACAAAAATAAAAAAGCCGAATATGAAAACGCCTGGCTTGGTAATTCCCCTTACTTGCAGACATTTTTAAAAAATAAGTTCATGCTTACCAGCCCACAAATAATTTTCTCCAAGTATTATGTCCTCGTGTCATCAATTATGAAAAAGAGTTTAAAAGAACATAGGCATCCTCATAAGCGCCACCACCAGTATCACAAATTGCAAAGGTGTTTTAGGTTATTCAAGAAAAACATGGTATAAAGACCATGCTGAAAGGAGTTTTTCTTTTTTAAGACTTGTATAAAAAAGCATGTTGTGTATTTTCAGTCTGTCTTTAAATAACTTATCCATGAAAAATATGTAATCACTTATAAACCGTTTCTGATTAAAAACATTAAATTTATGTTCTTTGTACAGTAATTATGGATGGAATAATTAGAATTTTGGGAATAATGCATCTTTCTGTGGTACTGGTATTTCATTCAGCTTGGAATAAACTTCTTGATGGTGGAGTTTTTATGGGTTTTCTAGATATTGCATTTCCTCTTGATGATGATAGCAAATTCCTCTAAGTCTATACTACCCTTTTCCTTATTGGCAAGGGTTTTTTAACTTGCTCTGGACAGCTGTAGGATCAAATTACATATGTTTGCTATTTATTCCTTTTAGCAAAGATTGCACTCAAATTCTTCCAGTAAAATGATCTGTTACTGTATATCAACGGGTAATCTCTGGGTTGTCAATATGAATAAGATTCCGGTTGATTTAGCATATGTATGTTTATGATTTAACATACATGGTTAAATAAAGATTTGTTATTACCACTGTGTTAATAGAAAAAGTGTATAGCAAGTCTGAATTTTAGTACCTGCTCTTTGAAGATAACATACTGTATTAATGAGATAATTACTATTTTTTTTAATTCTAAGGTTTAATTTGTTTTTGCCTAAGTATAGAGATTAAATAGCATAATTACAGAAGGATTTAATGAAACATCTAGCAAATTAACATCTGAAAGTGTTCTGAACAGAATTTTTCATTTTCAGCATAAAAAAAGAAATAGCTTTAATTAATGCTAATTAAATTGCTAAATTAATAGCTGGGTAGAACTTTGCTTTTACAACAAATCCTTGATTATTCTCTTTTTAGTATTGTAGCCCTATGTGTATAAGCAGTTGTCTTTTTAATATTTTTAGCATTGTGCTGATACTTATTTAAACTTATCTATTTTAAGTTAGCTTTAACATGATTGAAGATGTTTACGACTAGTGCCAGTGCCAAATCAGCTGTTACCAAGAAAAGAAAAATAAGACCTAAAATAAGAAATATTTTTTTTCTACCAGAGCTACATTTGGCTATAAGGTCTTTATCCACAAGAGTTATTCCGAGGTGTCATGTATAAAACAGTATAAATTGAATACTGTATATGAATTTTCGTCCTTGATGATTTGGCACTGATTGTAGTGAATTTTAGCACCTCTTCTCAATAACTTACAAATGGCATTCTAATATGTAATTTTTTTCCTTTTGTGTCTAGTAGTGGAGAGAGTGGTGAAATGTGGCAATAAAAGATACAAAAAGGATGAATTGCTTAAGATTCCTTTTTTCTAAACAAGTGGAACCGTGATTTCAGTTATATTGTCTTTAATCTTCTCTTAAAACAGAGAAAAGCCTCCCAAGGTTATTGACTAGATGAAAAGGCTTACTTATACAGTAAGGCCTTGATTTTTGTCTTTCTCTCTGGGAGGCATAATCTGTTCTAATAGATCAAAAATCTCATTTTCAGCTAGAGAAAGATAACATGGAATTTCATTTCATATGTTGAGGGGATTTCCAGCATCTTGTTTCAGTGTTGTAACAGATGTTAGGTACACGTAATATGCTATGTATATTCATTCTGGTATACTGCTATACAGTAGATAACTGGTTTTTGCAGTACATTACAATACCATGTCTTAAAACATTTAAATTCTGTTAGTTATTTGGTATGCAGTTTCAACAAGGGTTTTCTTTTTTTCATTCTTTACACACCTTTTTGAATACTACATAAAATATTAATTACATTTGATGTTTTTCATTTTATGTGAAAGGAAGTATTTTGCAGTAGGATGTATTAAGGGTATTTTGTGTTTTAATACATATGTGGCTTTCTGGGATATAGTCTCCAACTCCTCCCCCACAACTCTGAATTGGAAGAGCAGTTCGAAAATGGATGGATGGATATACATGAGTGCAAGTCAATAAAGAGAAATTAAGTGAAACAGATGCTTTATAGGTGTTGTTTAGAATACATTACATTACACCGAATGTAATTGGTTCAAGTATATGAAAGAGGCTTTAATTTCTGATTCATTAATCTTTAGTCACATAAAAAGAAACACTTTGCAAAAAATTCAGACTGTAAATTTGGTGATACTGTAACATATATTTTTAAAAAGGATGTGGTGTCACGGACGTCCAAAGGGACTAACCGTGGGGAGCAGGAGAGCAGAAAAAGACCCATATGCGTAGCGGCGAGACGGGGGTTTGCCCGGGCTCAAAGAGTTCAGGAATGCCGTATAGAAACCTAAGCCCTCAGGGAGCGGACGTGGGGCGCCCTGGTGCTAGGCGGGTCTCAGGACATCCGAACGTCAATGCTGAGCGAGGACAGAGTGCAAGACCCGGAAATATATAGCCCAAGGGAAAGAGAGGGACAGGAAGGACAGCAGACCGGAAACTAGGGACAGGACAGAGAAGGAGCGCCCTCTGGCTGCAGAGGGCGTGACATGTGGTTCTTTAAATGTTATTTTGAATAGCTTTTATAATGGAGTGTCTAAAGTGTCTGACAATTCCAGTTATCTTAACTTATATTATAATAAATGAAAGACCTATTTTTTTACTTCAGTAGTTCACCCGAACCCCAGTTAATGCAAAGTAGAGCTGTACCCCTCCCTTTTCCACGGACCGAGTGAGGGAGCTGATGCATGGAGGGTGATAGGTTGAAGGGAGTGGTGCTCCAGTGGGTGTTCTGAAGAAGAGATATTGATAAGAAGGAAAACAGAACTAGGCAAAATTAAGGTTTCTTTTTCCTTAACTAAAAACTCCATTTAAAAACAGTCTCACGGATGCCACCAGCTGTCAGTCACTGTGCCATCCATTGAGTTCTAGGCTGCTGTTTCCCTCTTGTTGTAGAAACATAGGGAGAATGGAATGAGAGTGACTTTTATTACATTTAAGAAAAAATTCTTACACGTTTATTTAACCTCATAAAACATGCACCAATAGGAATTACATATATCTGTCCAGGAGGTGTAACCTTTTTTAACTTATGGATATTAACGCTTTCACTAAATGTATGAAATAATTTTTATTTTTGTGTTTGAATATATCAAAACTTTACTTTTGCAAGCACCCTAGATGACTATAAAAAAATACATGTATGCCATTTCATGAATTAGGAAAGCATTTTTCTTTTGTAAGTAAAATAAAAATTTACAGAGTAAGAAAGAATATTTAAGTTTTAAATAAAATAACTCTCTGAAGCTAATCAATAGGGTAATGAAATTATTAAAAAAACAGATTTAAACTGCTCCAAAAAATAAATCAATATTAGCTATGCTATCCATTTTAATTCTGTTATTAACTAAAGGATTCCTTACTGCTGATGTCTTTGTTTTACAATCATAAACTGTATGTGTCAAAGATTTGTGCTTTTGGATTTGCTGTCAAGGTCCTGTCAGGGCTGAACTGTTGCAGGTTATACTGTAGATGTATTAATCTGCACTCTGTGATGGTCTCATTATATTCTTCGCAATAATCGTGTTCATTGACAAATCAATCATCAGACAAGTATCATGTGTGTCACAACAGCATAATACTATAGGTCTAATTTATTTCAGAATGTATTTTCTCTGATCTAATTGTGAAAAATAATATTCAATAAATACTTTATAAAGCCAATCACATTTTAAATATTGGACTTGATACTTTAGCTTGAATGTCAATTGCCATCAAAATAATCATATTATCATCATTAATATTATCTTGGTAAATGGTCTTATACTGGTCAACCTATAATAATGAAAATTAGCATAAACTGTAAGATACAGAGCATTAACACTCTGGTAGTATGTATTGCATGTTTTCACAGTGAAGACATTACCAGGGAATGAAAACAAATTAGTGAAGTATTTCATCCCAAAGGATCCAAACCGGTTTACATACTATAGAGGAGTGAACCCACTTCATCCACTGCTGAAATGCATGGCAGCCAGTTTACACAGCAAATTAGATAATTGAATTCCTAATTGCAGTTGAATTAAGGGGGTACTTAATGTAGGCCAAACTGTGCAAGCCCAGAGTGGAATTTAGCCAGGGCACAGGGCCTTACACTCCACAGTACCATACAGTGTACCTAGTCACCTTACTGGGATGGTGGTTTGGAAAGTCGGGTCTTAGAGGAAATGTGACATTAACTGATCCACAAACACCACTTATAGCACTTGATTTACCTAAGAGGTTGTCCCATCCCAGCACTGACGTACAATAGCACAAATACGTTTACCTTCTGAGATCTGACAAGATCAGACAACAAGATGGTACTGTAACACTGCAGCAAACACTATTCAAAGAGGTAATCAAGCACAGCAATAGTTTTGGCAGGGAATCCATTTTATTGATTAGGTGACCGTCAAGAAAGTTCTTGTTTCAAAAAACCCAGATGTACTGTAACAGCTATACACACTGTGAGTCATAAAAAGTGATTCATGCCGTACAAGTCATACATCTTTCACAGGTGAGGAAGCTCATAGACAATTTGATGAGGAAATAAGATGAGGTGTTTAGAATTTGGCTTTGAACTATACTCCATCTACCATTTCTTATTCCTAAAAAATAAAGCTGAACAATGAACTAAACAACATTCTGAGGAAATTAACAAAACATTCAGAGATCTAAATCCACATACATGTACAGATTCTTAAATTATACATTTGTAATTTATGAAAAAAAGATTGTTTTAATATCTTTCGATCAGAAAATTTTATCTGTTGTATCTGCATTTTGAAGTTAAGGCTGAAAGAGGTCCAAGAAAGGCTAGCAAATCATTATGTCAGAGTCTTGTTCAGTTTTTGTAAGATGGATTTTGCACTAGAGGTTTAGTAATCCTAAGCATGTTCAATCAGTGTTCCTCTCAAACGACAATGTGTTCATTTCGTTCCTTTGCAGATGTACATTTTGTAACCTAGCCTTTTCCCGATGAAGAAAAACATTTAATCAGGGACCAAATTTTGAGTTATCTGCCAGTGTAATCCTTCCTAAGATTTCTGTATTTTAGAAAACACAACATAGGTCAATCAATTGGTGTTTCAGTTATCCTTGTAAAAACTTGTTTCAGATTATACAGAAAATCTTTTCATGAATTTGTGCACGCTTATGGCTTTTTGTTTGGTTGTTTTTCTGCTTTCTTGTTTTCAGTGTATGAGTATTAAACCATAATCATAAAAATGTATATATTTGTCTTCCCTAAGATATTTAAAGTGTCAAATGATTACACATACATTATGTACTTTTAAGACTCAAAGAATTGTTTTTTCATGCACATTTTTTTCTTGAATAAAAACCAGTTTAGTTTTCCTTCTTTATACAGAGGTATAATTCTAAAGTGACCTTCAACTGATCACCTCAGAACTGTTATTCCCGATAGATTTGTATTTTGTAGTAAATAAAAGAAGGCAATGTGTTATATATGTTTGTTTGAATAGAAGATTTGAGAAACATTTTGACACTCATACATACAGTAATTGGAACTCTTTTACACAGTTTATTGTAATGTATATGTTTTCGTATAATTTAAGTAATCTAAGTTAGTTTTGCCCAAGTATTTGGTAGGCATGTCATTAATAAAAAATTGTATCTTTTTATCTAACTGCTGAAAAGGAAATTTATATTTATAAGTAGAGGTTAATCCTACAATTTATACCAATGTGCTTTAATAAATGAGACAGCAGACAATGTTTCTGTGCAATAATCATTTTAGAAAATTGATGTTGTTAAACTGATCCTAAATTCTGTAACAGAGTTTGTGGGTAATGTGAAGCATGAATAACCCTCACAAGGCCACTTATCAAGGCCAAGAGAACACTGCACCACTACCTTTGTCTTGGGTTTTTTTGTGGTTAGTAATATTTGAACTCATGTTAAACCTTGAACGATTTGGATTTTAAAATTTTATTAAAAATTGAGATGATATGGACTTAGTATGAAATCTGGGTCATTCATATTTTGACTGTAGAGGTAAATCAGAAAACCAGAAAACCATATTCTTCAGAACCTATACTAAATTATATCAATGTGTGTCACTACTGTTGCAATCCTGAACTCACTGCTTAATGTTGATTGTCTTTGGTTTTGTCTTCTTACCTTATGAAGGAAATGTTTTCAGACTGCTCATTTCTATCTGGAAGATAACACATCCCCAAGAGTGATTACCTCACCTCCAACACCAGTCCTTCCAGCCTCAGGTAATGGTCATTTGGATAAAAAAGGAAGGCTTTATGTTTTGTGTTATTTATTTTAAGGAGGAAATAAGTCACACTCTAAATCCAGAATGCTATAATTCAAATTTTAAAGTATTCACTTACTTTTTAAGATTAATTCTCACATTTTTATTCTGTTCTGAAATGTATGTACTGTGTATAAAGCTTTACTCCCAGAATCCAGGGAGAATGATGCAAAAAGTGAAGTCAGCACATCCCAAGAATAGGCAATCACTAAAAGTGGCTAAAACAAAGTATCTCAAATTATTACACAGAGAGATTGGAGATCTCAATAAGTGCAGACTTCAGTAAGTTATTGCCTCAAGGAGATATGCAAGCATATACTGACTTTTACACTCTGAGATAATTTATACCAAGTGTCCCAATACGTCTGGTCACTTGAAATCATTGAGTTTGACACAAAGTATGTTTTTGTTCTAATATGATCAAATGTAATCATGGAATTAACCAAAAATAAAACAGATTTTTCCTTGTCATTCATATTAATCTCATGATTACAACTACAGCACACATTGCTTGACTGTAATTTAGAAATAGCAGTTTTAGCTATGCTAATTCTAATAATGTATAATGTTGTTAGAAGCTGTCCTTTTTGCTTGTTTGATGGATTCTAACAGATACGGTATATTAGCTGAAGAAACTAACTGATACAGTAGCAGTGTTCCTACTTAGTTTCCTGTCCTCCTTTTTATGTTGTTGGTTATTTTCGTGTTGCCATTTGCAAATTACAGGTCTGTGGATACAGCGCCTTTCCTTAAAAGGAGCTGAAATACTTTATCTTAACTTAGTGTCTGAATGTTAATCCTTATTTCCTTTAAGGTGTGGCTGAGAACATAACAACAGTCTCTGTCAATTCACAGAATTCTTTTTAAGACACCTTAACCCCTTTAGAGCCTCAGTGTCAGTTATACTAAAATTGCTTACTACTAATGGCAACAGGCAATATTAATGCCCACTACTAAAATTGCCCACTACTCCTTTTATTACATGGTGCATGCCATTAGTGTTCTCTTTTGAGAAAAAAACTTTTTGGAATATTTATTTAACATGCATACTTATACATTTTAGTGTTCTATTTATTGGTCTTGGGTGAATCAGTGTCATAATTGGTGTTGCTCTGTGGGCTGGTGGGCTATTCAAGTGGGTTAGTCAAAGACACCCACTACTGGTTAATTGGTATTGCTAAATATAAATAAATAAGCTGAACATAGATGGCTGCATTTATTTGTCTGATGTACTGCAACTTGTAAAATTGTAACATTTATAATTGAGTATTATATTACGTATTAAATGTTTTTGTATTTAATATACTTTTTAGTTGCATATTATATATTTTACAAATAATTTAGAAACAGATTATTAACTGTTATCTACTTTTTTATGAGGTTATTTAGAAAATTAAGTAATAAACTGCTTAGTTATTGGCTAAAAGTTGTTTTAGGCCATAATTTATTTTGACATTTTCTAGATGATCATGAGCCCATTCCAGTGAAGCAGTTTGCAAAACATGTAGCAGAACTTCATGACAATAACAGATTTTCTGAAGAGTTTGAGGTATGTTGTGAAAATATATTTTCAACTTGTTCACAATGTGAAAAGATTTGTATGATAGCACAGAGAATCCTAATGCCAACATAAAAGTAACATTAACATTAAGGCAGTAATATAATGAATGAAATACAGCCTAACAATAAGTAGAGGCATAGGGTTCCTTTACTCACATTGGTTGTACAATTTATTAATGAGATCAAACACATGAAAACATTCATGTATAAACAGTAATTATAAAACATATGAAACTGTTTATTTTTTAATTTACTGGAACTGAGATTTCCAGACTTTTTGTCCATAATTTACAATAAGGAATAACCTTTGGTCAGTTAAGCATTTGTGATTAATGATATGAATGTTATAAAGATTGTGTTAATCATGAATGTTAACAGAAAACCCTGCTACAGCTCTAGAATCTGCATGACATAATTTAGAGAAAATGGGCATTAGACATAAAAGATGTTTCATCTAAGGAAAAGATTTTCTTAATGACTAGGATATTATTAGTTCCTCTTGTATTTACTGTGTGCCCTCGCTGTAGTCTACATGATGAATTCTTCATGATTTATTTACAGTATATGCACATCTCAGGTCATTTACTTGGATGAAAACAATTTTATTCTATGTGTGCATCTATTAAATTCCTGAACATAGAATACAGCTCTTGATATTGAGAAAATCAGGAGCAAATAATAGTAAGAAAATGAACATGTTTTGGGACATTAAATTACATGTTCTGCAAACTCTTACTGAACAGCAAATTCATTAAATAGCCTGTAATTTTTGGTAACGTACAGTCATATGAACTCACACAGTACTGTAAATGTAAAACTTGTGATTATTCTCACTGAATGCACTTCAGATACTTATGAATATTAATCTTACTTTCAAGAAGAAAAGGAATGATCATTTTCATAATAATCAGCCAATGTTTTACCAAATAGAAAAAGTGCAACTCAGAAGTGTACATTATTATAAAATCTCTTCTAAAAAAAGAAAGGGTAACTCCTTTCCACAATGTTTAATGGCTTCAAATACTTTTATTATACAGTATTGTCAGTTATCAGAAGTATAATTTTGAGCCTGACCATTTGTCTGAGCATGATGAAGCACATAAAAGCTTGGAGTGTTTACATAGACAGTTCCAGTCTCTTCATGTTTTCATCTGACAAACATGTTGTCTTTGGCAAAGGTGCACTGCATGACATTTGACATATAGTACTGTACTGTGATTGTCTTGCCTTGCTCCTCACCTTGTTACACTCTTGTTATTGCATGAATGACAATGATTATTCTTTCTTAAATACAATAATATATTCAGTTATGTTGTGCACTGTCATTGAATTTCATTGCTGTGCTTTTTGCATTCACTCCCTCATTAGATATTGAAAGAGTATTATGAGGTAAGACATTTTTTTATTCTTACGTTCTGTAGCTGTAGTTGTAGTTATTATTCATAATATATCTATGTCCATTTTTGCATGATTCTGTAACTTTTTATGGTGGTGGACTGCTGGGTATTGATGTCTCTGGTAATCCTTTTTAACTTCTTTTCCAGGAGGTTCAAACGTGCACTGTTGATCTAGGCATTACATCAGACAGCTCCAACCACCCAGATAACAAGAACAAAAACAGATACATTAACATTGTTGCCTGTAAGTATGCAAATGATCTACGAGTTCTACGAAATCTACGAAAAAATGCAGACCGCTAATTAACCTCATGGGAATTTTTGAATGTTTATTTTATTTCAGATGATCATAGTAGAGTCAAACTGTCACCCAACCCAGATAAAAGTGGAAAGAGTAATGACTACATCAATGCAAACTATGTTGACGTAAGTAGATTGCCTTTTTCACTGTGTATTTATGGGTTTCTACAGTATGTACAGTACCATTTAAAAAAATGCAATGTATCTGGTAACGTCAAGCACACAATAAATTATTTTATATTTTATAGAGTAAATTCAATTTTTATTGTAATTCCTGTGTGGGGAAATTGAAAATACAGTACAGTACAGCTACACTAAATTTATTGTAACACTGAAATCCAATAGAAAGATGTTTGCGTATACTGTATGGTTATTTAAAGTAACCCCAATGCATTTGTATTGACTTGTGTATGATTAATTATATTTTGACAGGGATTTAATAAAGCAAAAGCATATATTGCAGCACAGGGACCTCTTAAATCAACTGCTGAAGATTTCTGGAGAATGATATGGGAACATAATGTCGGAGTGATAGTTATGATCACAAACCTAGTTGAGAAAGGACGGGTGAGTGTTTTTCACTGTCTTGTTCGAAATAGTTAGGTTTTTTTATTTATTTTCATGCTTTATTTCTGCACTAGATGTCAGTTGGAGATTACAGTTTAAATGAAAAAAAGGCTTGGTGCCTCTCAGAAAAAAAATATTTTTTTAAAGTTTGTTATAAAAATGTATAAAATGTTGTTTTCAATTACAAGTTGTAATGTATGTTATAATAGAAACATGATGGGAAAAGAGAAAATGTTTTTTTAAATCTGAAAACCAGACAAAAATGTAATCAAAACAAAAGTTCTCCCCCACTTTTAAATTTGTCATTTAATAAAATAACGTTTAACAAAATCCTGGTTGTATGTAAAATACACTCTTACACAGGGGATTTGCTCTAGCTGCACTTACAGTGCTGCTGATCTGCATTTCTGTTTTTAATAGTGTATAATTATTTGTTAACTGTGATATGATAACTACAACTTCAGGTTGATTTTACGTGTACATTAGGGGGTCTTTACTGAGTAAGATTCTTGTAAAGAGCTCCTCCATCCATAAATGTTTAAAATTCCATGGTCTAAAATATAAAACCAATAAAACATTATTGGGAACAACCTAAAGCTGTTGAGATATTTAGGTACTGTAATCAGAACAATACTAAAACCGAGATCTTGGTTTAAACTGCTGGTGTCTGGTGCCCACTGTTCAGCCTGACATGACATAGGATTATTGTTCTGATTTATTACTGTTCTCTTATAATTGCATTGAAATCACACTACAGATATTATGTGTGTATATAGGATTCTTTACAAATATACAATAATCACCTCCAATCCAGCAGATCTTTGAACAGAAAACAAAGGAGAGGTATTAAATATTCACCCATGAAAACCATTAACCTGCAACAATTAACAAACTGATTAATAACACAACACTGAATTACACAGACAATTGGTCATTTTCATACATACAACAGTTAACACACATACAGGTCTGAAAAAATGTTACATATTTTTAATTGTCCAGCTTTTTTACACATCACGGCAAATCAATGGACATTTTTAATGTCATAGACACCCAATTTAATTAATCCCTGTGTGACCAACGAGAAAAAATAAATACAATGCACCTGAAAAAGATAGTGATTTTTAAAATTTAATTTAAGAAATAAAGAATATTGTGTTTCTGTTTGCTAGGTATTTAACTGTTTTGATTTTTCACTTTCTTTGTAGAAATAAGACTGACATTGTTTGTTTTATTGTGTGTTGTAGAGAAAATGTGACCAGTACTGGCCTTTAGAAAATAATGAAGAGTATGGTTGCTTTCTGGTGTCATTGAAGAGCACAAAAGTCCTGGCATATTACACCATGAGACATTTTACTGTGAGAAACATGAAAATCAAAAAGGTTTGTTTACGTGAAGATTATCTTATTTTTAATAATGATATTTTTTAAGCTTATAAAAGCTCAGTGTGAAGGCATTACATAAAGCATTTGTTCCACACCTTTTTTTTAAACAGATGTGGTTTATATTTTCATGTAAAAGTAGTGATTGCAATCAGATATGATTGTGATTTTACAGTATGTCATTAATAAACTAAAATATAAAAGTGCAGTTGACAGAATTGTTCAGTAAAGCAAAAATAAAAAGGTTCGCTGTGTTGTTTCCCTCAGGGATCTCAGAAAGGGAGATACAATGAGCGCACAGTTGTTCAGTACCACTACACACAGTGGCCTGACATGGGGGTTCCTGACTACACTCTGCCTGTGCTGACATTTGTGCAAAAGTCTTCACAAGCAAGGACAAGTGATATGGGGCCTGTAGTGGTGCACTGCAGGTATCTGATGAGCAATTATTCTACTGTATATCCAATATTTGTTTTTAGCCATAAACCTGGAAAGAGTGGCTGTGGAAAATATTATTTGAATGGATTATAGATATTGAAGTGTTAGAACATAAATAAAAGAAATTGAAGACAAAAATCCAGTTATTTCAGGAATAAGTACTCTAATCATCAGCCAACAGTTTTAAATGACTTTGTTGTATGTGGGTGGCATTCTCCGTTATGATGCTGACGTTGTTGTGGGAGGAATAGGCTAAAGGGTATCATTAATGGATAGTTTTTCTCTTGCTTTGCAGTGCTGGTGTTGGGAGGACTGGCACTTACATTGTGCTGGACAGCATGTTACAACAGATAAAAGCACAAGGCTCAGTGAACATCCTAGGGTTCCTGAAACACATACGAACACAGAGAAACTACTTAGTGCAGACTGAGGTAAGATATGCCGTGAATCACATTTGTGTGATTTTTGAAAAGGAATATATTTTTAAAAAGCTGTTAAAGCTTTCCATCAAACATTTAAAAACCTTATGTTTTCCACTATATTCAGGTTCAGTTTCAGCACTGGTGTTAAAGCATTAAATTTAAAATTTCCCTTGATGGTAAATTATGAATGATTTGTAGGTTATTATCCCTATAGTTTAGAAAATATATTATAATAAAATCATTGCTTATTTGAATTAAAGGCTTACAGAAGTATGGTAGTTAAGGATGGCTGCCACCTGTTTGTGAAACAGGTTTGCAACAATGTTCAGGCCAAAGTTTGAAACATGCTAACAGAGCAGTTTAATCACATAAACTACAGTTGACAGTTTTGCACCTGCAGTTTAAACAAAATCAGAAGTTACAATAGTAGCTGTTATGATAATATGACAAGCACAGTATTTAATAAACCAATGTTATACTTTCTGTCTTAATTCATGAGTTATGCAACATTTATATAATAAAATATACACACAGTATTGACACTCATCTCTACCAAACAATTAGAGATAATGGGTTAGTCTGCCTCTAGTTACAATTACTGTAACTAGATCACTGCAGAGCACTGGGCATTGATTTCTTTAAGGCATTTCCAGACATCATTGCATTGCATCAGAAAGCCAATGATGGAGTCCTGTCTGGGATGTTGGTTGTGCATCTGGCCTGTAGTCCTGCATCTGATATTGCAGAACATCCCACATGTTCTGCTCACTGGGTTGGAGATTCAGGGACTGTGGGTGGACTAGGGAGTTGGCAGAGGTCCTTCTCATATTCTGAGAGCCATGCCTTCAGACTTCTGTTTCAGGGTACATTGCTGCTGCCATCCTGTAATATACCATTATTATACTGATAGGTGGTGAGCTCTGCTGAGTGCACCTGGGCTACAGTGACACTTCAGTATGCTACAGCAGTAAGCACACCATACATATTGATAAAAAGATCTGCCCTATGCCATCAGAATATATCCCAGACCTTAATACTTACAGAAATATTGAGGTCTAGTGCTTCATGAACTCTTGTCCACACATTCTGTTTTCCTGCAGCTCCTGGTGATTTTTCATGGACACAGGTTTCTCCTTCTAGTGTTGAAGTGTGTAGTGAACTTTTCCAGATATGATTGCCTTTGGCTGACCACATTCTTGTACATTGAATTGCACTTCCTCTCTTTTTTAACATCAGGTACTCTTCTTAAAAGTGTTGAAGCTTGCTGAAGTGACACATAGTCAGGGGAACCAACAGTCATGCCTTTTGTATGGTTATTTTACATAAGTCTTCTTAGCCATAGCACAGTTCATTGAGGAAAAGGTCTGCTGCCTTGCTCTGCTACCTTACAGTACCCAGGATTTAAGATACATACTACACACTAGGCCATTCTCACTACTGAAGATCAAATTTCAATTGAGTAAGCACTGCACACAAAATACTGCAAACATACTTGTTTGTTTATTTTACTTTTGTTCATCAACAGTAAGTTCATACTGTAGATAACACATTGTGAAGCTTGCCTTCTTATAAAATTTACAAAACATGTTCTCTTTCAAACCAGGAACAATATGTCTTCATTCATGATGCACTGGTAGAGGCCATTCTCAGTAAAGAAACAGAGGTTCCAGTCAGTCACATTCATAGCTATGTGAATGCCATCTTAACCCCAGGCCCATCTGGAAAAACAAGATTGGAGAAGCAGTTCAAGGTAAGACTAGAATCTTTATATTGTGTATATACATTCTCATAGGAATTGGTATTGAAATAAATACTCACGGAGTCCCTATATAATGAAAGAGGTGTGTTATATTAAAAACTGGGTTGTATTATTTGTTTAGCAGACTACAATGCTTTTATCTATGATTACCTACAAAGGTACCTACTTTGGCCCCTATGAAGAATTATATACTTCTCATAGAATATATCTAGAGAGATGTCCTAAAATGCTAAGCTTCTTTAGAAATCCATGTATTTATTTAAGAAGAAGAGAAGAAGAAAAAGATTGAATCATTTTATAGAAAGATCACATGAACACAGCACGGTAGCAAAGTGTTTAAAATTGCTGCCTTGCTGCGCTGGGTTCCAGGTTTCAATTGCTGGGGTACTGTCAGCATGGAGTTTGTATGATTTCCCTTTGTTTGCGTGGGTTTCCTCCAGATGCTTCAGTTTCCTCCCACAGTCCAAAAACATACTGCTCGGTTATTAGGCATTTGTCTTTTGTAAAAACTTGGCCTGGTTTGGGTGTGTTCTGTACATGTTTGTGTCTGTATGTACCCTGCGATGGACTGGCATCCTGTCCAGGATGGATCCCTGCTTCTGCCAGTTGCTTTCATGTTTAGGCATGGAATTTCACCTCAGCTTTGTGCTGGATAAAGCAATTTAGAAATGCTTGGATGGATCACACGAACAGATATACCATCAAATTGACCAAAAATCAGGTCCATTCCTTAACCATTTTCAGTACAGGGTACATTAATTACAAATATCTTCTTAGCTTTTGCAACATAATCAAGAATGTAAAAGATATTGACTGTTTTGTTTTTTACTTCCCCTCTCCAATGTGAGTGTATTAAAGGCTTCATTTGGTATATAACAAGCAAACAGGTGATTTAAAAACTAATTAACTGGGCTCATATGAAAGACTTAAGTCGTATATTTGATGGTGATGTCTTACGAAAATTAATGTGCTCATTTTACTGATATTTTCATCTCATATCTTCTGTTCCCTGTGCCTCTGCAGTTAATAACCCAGTCCAATGCCAAGCAATGTGATTATTCTACAGCACTGAAACAATGTAACAGGGAAAAGAACAGGAGTTCATCTCTGATTCCAGGTAAGGCCATACATATTTCATATTAGTTTAAGATTAAATGTGTGGGTATGAATTCTAAAGTTGTACTGTCCATTCTAATGAAAGCAAATATAAAATACAAGCACAAACACATGAAACAAAATAACTGAATTATCTTATGTATTTTCATTTTAGTTGAGAGGTCCAGAGTTTGCCTCTCTTCTGTAACAGGTGATGTAACAGATTACATCAATGCCTCCTATATCATGGTACGTATACTATAAATGAAATCTCATATTCAGAGAAGAGTGTCATGGGTTGATTTTGAAACACTCTAATTGATCTGGTTTTAGGGTTATCACCAGAGCACCGAGTTCATTGTAACTCAAAACCCACTTCCAAACACTACCAAGGATTTCTGGAAAATGATATGGGATCACAATGCACAGATTATTGTCATGCTTCCAGACAACCAAGGCTTGGTGAGACATTTGGATTTCTATCATTTTTACATACTGTATGTAATTTCTTATACAGTATCATTAAAAAAAACATAATAAATAATAATATCGAAAATATAAGATTGACCAACTTATGTTCTAACTTCCTAATGTCACTTTTGTGCTTATTAGGTAGATGAGAATTGTGTATACTGGCCAAGCAAAGAAAAATCAATCATATGTGAAACATTCACGGTTACTTTGACTGGTGAGGATCACATATGCCTTTCCAATGAGGAGAAACTTGTTGTACAGGACTTCATCTTGGAGGCTACACAGGTATGTGATAACATGATCATACCAACAACATCAACAAAAAAACATGGTTTCATTTTATCCTTTTGTTATTACAGCATGTTTTTAACTTCTTTTTCTAATTTTCCTCCTTCCATATTAACAATGTTGATATAATATTTCCAGACCAGAGTAGCTGTAAAGCCCGGGAAAGCCCAGTATATTTGATTTAAATCCTCTGAAGCAATTTCTCTCAACCTTTCTAATAGCTGAGTGGTCAAGTAATCTGGATGGATCTGGCTATGGATGAATAGCTGACTACTGCTCACATTATGAACTATTGTTTCCTCCTTGTGTTCCAAGCTGTATTTTTCATTGCATATTCTCATATAAGCAAGATATATAACACACAACTACAGAAATACATTATCATCCATTTATATATTAACAAACCATTGTATCTTATTATTAATCATCTACTTAATAGTGATAAAATATGGTCTTACGTTGAATGTATGTTCCTGTCCATATTATATTTTTCTTATTCTTGTATCATTAACAGACTTTTCATTAAAAGCTGTGTATAATTAAATAAAAAACAGAAAGGAAGATCATGGTGTATTATTTTTTCTTTCCATTTCTAAGTTGGTGCTAAACACTTTCATTTACAGTTGTAGAACAAAATCCAGTTTGCAACAGAAAGTGAGAAAATCTAAATCATTAAACATTCAACACACACCAACAGAGCACACATCTGTTAATTTTAACAAGCTAGTCGTAATGCCATCTGCAATGTGTGTCATATGAAATTTTGATGAAATCAAAATTTCACATTCTAAAATGAAGTTAAGCAAGATCCCATATGCTCTTTATTTTACTTTATTTTGCCAAAATACACTGTATTTCCTTTTCCTTTTTTAGGATGACTATGTCCTGGAAGTGAGACAGTACAGATCTCCAAAATGGCCAAATCCTGATAGTTCTATCAGCAAAACCTTTGAGTTGATAAACATTATCAAAGAGGAAGCAGCTTCTCGAGATGGTCCCATGATTGTGCATGATGAGTAAGATAATATTCCTCTTTTCTCTATAAACAATTCTAAGGTAGTGAGGCTGGTATTAAGGTCAGTACCTTAGTCCTTTTGAAATACATTGTGCATTCTGCATTACAATCAAAATAGAAGAGGATTCTGCAAAATGATTAAACTGACAGGCCATTGTTTGTAATCTTAGATAAGCTTACACATATACTCAAGAAGCAGAAGTTGAAGTCCCATTGACTCCTCACTTGCAAATATCGACTGAAGTGGAATTCTGAATGCTACATCCCAGTCAGATGCTTTTTAACATCCCTGAAACATTCAACAAAAGTGATGTACCTTTAAAAAAAATTCCATTCCTTGCAAAAAGGATCTTTAGAAAAGCTAGAACAAAAGTTAATAGTGGGTGGGAAATGGTGATTGCTTTAACTCCGAGCTGTTGACCTTGTGTGTTGTTTTTCTCCAAGTTCCTGTTTTCTTTCTCAATAAGTTGATTACCTTGGAGACAAAGTTGTAGTCTTGACACAGTGCCTGTGATTTGACAGGCACGGGGGAGTAACGGCTGGAACATTCTGTGCTCTGACCGCTCTCGTCCATCAGCTGGAGAGTGAAAACTCCATCGATGTCTATCAGGTGGCAAAGATGATCAACCTAATGAGGCCAGGGGTCTTCACAGACATTGTAAGTAACCACAAAATGCATACAAAAAAATAAACAGTATTTTAGTTTGGGTTAAACTACATTTAAACTGTTAATTAAGGAATGCTTAGCAATTGGGAATCAGTTAATTAAAAAGCTTTTCTGGGTGATTAAAGGAGATGAATTTTAGCCCTTACAAAAGACGGGTTGTGGTAAAATAAGACATAGTAAATCTGATGATAACAAGAAATTCATGAAGGGATCAGTGTATAGAATTGTGTACCATATAGAATTTGTAACATTACTAATTGCGAACATGTTGAGCTTTTTTTTTAAAAAAGGTCATCTGTATGTACAGTGTGAAATATAGATTATTTCATGTCTTTAAAGTACAGGTCTTCTCTTGCAGGATCACTACCAATTCCTCTACAAATCTATTCTTAGTCTTGTGAGCACAAGGGAAGACGAGAGAACAATACTTTCTGCAGATAACAATGGCACAGTTCTGGTAGATTCCAACAATGCTGCAGAGAGCCTGGAATCCTTGGTGTAGATTCTTGTTACAATGCCACATCTGTTGAAACCAGTACTTTGTGTAATGACTTTCTTAAGAATTTTGCCTTTTTTGTTAAACCCTTTACTTTCCATCTTTAATTGACATGACTCTGTTGCTGGACATAATACGATCAAGAAATGTGTGCCTTTATGTAATTCTTCTTGTAATTTTAATTGATTTTATACTGCTCAAACTAATTCCATTGGTTTTTTGTGTTGAAAAAAATGCTTGTAGTCTTGCTCTGCCTAAATGCCCTTCTTTTAATTCTAGCATATTCTATAACCTCATATTTATTGGCAGCAACTTTGCTTCAAAGGGATAAAAGAAAATGTCTTTTTTTAATGACATATTAGTATATATTTTTTGTAGAAACCACAAATTTTCAGCAGAATTTTGTTTTCCATATACAGGTAGATGTAAATAAAATTACGTACTTAGCAAAGTTACGTCGAGTATGAATTAAGTAGGAAAATTGAATAATAATCTAATATGTAATGTAAATAGCATTATAGTGACCAAACCTATGGACCAAATTTCTATTTATACTTCTAGAATTTTTTATATTTTACTACAGAGTTGGTTTTCTAGTCATTTTAAAATGTGTGACTGCATTTGTTCTAATAATTTAGTGAAATAATTGGTAAAGGTAATGGTTTAATATTTCTGATATTCCAGTGTTCTGTATTTTGCTATATTAACTTTAAATTTAAGCATGGAATATTAACAATTTTAATTGTACTAGAGAGATATTAGTTCTAGAATTAGCATAGGGACAAACAAGGCATCTGTTCAAGTTCTGATGAATTTTTTTCAATCTATTGTTTGACATCATGGTAAACCGACAATAAATACGGATATTTAAAGTCATTGTGTTATGAACTCATGGTGCAATTATTTATGGAGATAAGATTCAACATGTAGCAACTCAGTGTCAAAATGCAGTGTCTTACAAATACTGTCTTATGCAATCAGTGGCCTTCATAACATCTGCCTTGTGGTACTAAAATTAGAGTGAATTGAAAGAAAGCTGTGCCACATTCACTGACGTCCATCAGAGCTGTCTGTGCAAAACTCTAATTCATTGTTAAAGCGGTCTTAGTTTTATTACTGCTGAGTCCACCGGGCACACTGCTACTAAATGCCATTAGTAGTTAATGTACTGTAAGTCAAATGCTAAATACAACAAAATAATTATGACAAATACACAGAGAAAGATTACTTAATATGTAAGCGTTTGGGGATAACTCACCTACTTGTTTGATCTGGCGTTAAGGTCAAAGCTGTCGAAACCCTCAAAAAGGATTAAAGGAAACCCAAAACTGCAATTCAGTTTACTTCAATGACAGAGCTGATGGAGTGCAAGCTTTGTTTGATTAAGTTGGATCAAATATACAAAGTTTCGCAGGAACAGGTCGGAGAATAGTGCCGTAGCATGGGGGTGAAGCATGTACTGTAAGTATGATGGCGGCTCAAGTTCTGTTTGATTGAGTCTGGATATTACAGAGAATAAAGTGGATGAAAAACACACATGATACTGGCAATGGAATGCAATTCAAGTGAACTGGATTACTTTCTCCTGTTTTAGCAAGTTTTTCATGGAAAAACTAGCAACACAATGTGCGAGAGTTGTCAGACGCTGACAAGACCAAACCGCAGAGTGCTAGAAAAGATGCACACAGAGTTGTGGACAGCAGGTGAGTATATGTGAGAAGCAGAAATGGGAGAATACTATTTAATCTCCTCCTGAAGTCTTATTTTACAACACCAAATGGCATGAAGCATTGTTCTCTCAATAAAAGTATATTTTTTTCTTCATTTTCACCAGGCTTGACATTCAACATGTTAAATCACTGTATCGTCTGTGCTCAATCAAATCATTAATTAGGTAATTTAGTGCTAATGTAACAAAGCCATACAAGTATATTATAGTCAGTCATAAATTATCAGCTATTCAAAGTGAGTCAAAAGCATTAATAACCTAAATCCATATACTGTATTTTTTCTAAAACATACAGTATACTATTGTTTATTTTGATGCTGAATATATATATATAATTAAGTTATACTTTTAGTACAAAGCACAACAGATAAGAAATGTTTGTGAAACAAATTATTGTTCCATTAGTTTTTGATACTTGTTCAATTTTAGGTTATACAGTAAATCTTAATGTTTCTTAACATATTTGTATATTCATTTGCTAAAATTTAAATTCTGTATAATTCCTCAACGAGAAAAAAAACAGTCCGGGTGAACTATGTGCTTAAAACACTGATTTTGGAAAAACAGCAGCATCTTACTTAAAATTATCATTATCTGGTACAAAATAAGCAAAGCTGATGATTTACAGAAGTATTTTCAGATTAATAAAGTAATTTACCAACATCGGAAAGTAATATGAAATGTAACTGATAGCATTTTAGATTGTAATCACCACAGCGCTGCAGTGAAGGTTTCTCACAAACCTGCAGCTGTTGTAGCCAAATTGGCATAAATACATCATTTACAAAAAATAAGGGAACAGTAACTGCATCACCCACTTGATGCTTTTTCTAAGATATGCAATTAAAAAGGGTATGCTTTTTTAGATTAACTGTTTTCTGCGATAATGCAAAATGCCTACTGTAATAATTGTAACAAATACAGTTGTGTCTCATTCATCAAAAATTCTTCCATATTGTATAACAAATGTTTATATTCAGTATGATCTTGAACTACGAGAATTCAGTTGCAGGAAACTGAAAGATTTGAGAAATGTAACAGATATTTTTACTTTATGTGTACTGAAAAGGTCACAAAAATTCAGTATACTAAATATGAAAAATTGTATAATTTCTTTGAAAGAAAATGTTAAGTGGTTCAAATTCTTTGTCCAAAATATCCACTTAAGTACAAGACTAGAGTAATTATTTGAAGATTACCTTTTTTAATGGCTACATATGGCTTTATTTAGGAAACTACAATAAATTAAGAATATATAGTACTCAAAATTATCTTAATCAAACAAAGATGGTAGATTACACAATTTCAAAACAGAAATGTCTAAATTAAGATAAAATAATCCTCCGAGAAAAAGGGTCACTCTAATTAATTCCCACTCTTTAATCCAGTCTCAGACTCCTAAGACGGTGCTCATTTTTTTTCTGAGGAAAAATAGGTCAAGTATCCAGACAATGTCTTGAACATAGGTAGTTCAACACATTTATCTTAAACATAATTACATGGAAAAGTATTTTTTTCTTCTTTAAAGCCATGAGATTTAAACTCTTAATTTAGCAAGCATCACTCATCTGTATACTTTTCTGATAAATTTACAAATGTTCTGCTTTCTATTGAATAATTCCCCACTTACGTTATTCTGGATTTAACTCCAAACACTCTAAACAATGTTAAGTACTAGACCTCAATATTACTTTCAGCAAACAACATACATGTAGATGCAATCATAGGAACTGAAACTATAAACTATTGTACATTTAATTGTAATGGTGTTCAATTACCTTAGAAGAGCACACATTTGACAAATAATTACAAACAACATGTATTAACACCGTAATATTACACATGAAAAGGATGAGAAAACCCAGTCACATACAAATTTAATATTCTATAGTATAATGGTGATGTTATTCTAGAAATTTCAGTTTCAAAACAATTGTATGCAGTACAGTATTTATCTAATACAAATCTACTAAATTGGAAAATGTATTTTAAATATTCAAATTTCCCATCTGTGCAATATGCTCTATAAATTTCTGCAGGCTAGAACCATCTCTACATAGACTGGAAAACGCTCTGCCATCTAAAAATTACTGAGACCTTCATTCAAGCTTTAAAGTAATGTCTGCAATAAGTTTGAAAAAAGTTCAGGCAAAAATCCACCTTGAAGCCAAATGTTCTATTACTTCACTGACGTCTTTGGAATTGTTAAGTACCACCCTTTAAGAAAATGGTAGCACAATCAAATATTTATCAATATATCTGAAATAGCTAAAAACAGGTATAAAGAAATCTAGCAATAATATCTGTTTCCCTCTAAAATTATGAAAATTCAGTTTTATGTACAACACTCAAGGAAACCAGACAGGATCATAAGAATATTTTTTCCCCATTGTCAAGCTAGAAATCCTGTCACTGTTGCTCTTCTACTACAGAGTGAGGAAAAACAGTTTCTGCCAAATCATCTTGGGAAAATGGTTCTGTAACAACAATCTGGATACTTAGGTTGTTTTAATTTAATAAAAATACAGCTATAGTTTAATATTTAATAGTACACCTTCTATAAATTGATCACACAAAAAATACATATTTTAAATGGACCGATTGCTTCTATACAGAACACCAGATATTTTACAGGTTTTAGTCTTGCAGACAGTTTAATACATTTTAATACTGGAAAATACAAATCTGGTTAACAAAATTAATCTTTATTTAGTCAAAACAAACAAGACAAAGCTGTCCTTCAGATAGAACTTCATTGCCAGCTATCTTCTACTTAATTGTAGAAGTACCACAAAATGTCATTACTCATTATCTGTTACAAATTACTTTAAAACACAGGGAACATAGTTTCACCCGCATTATCTATTTTATGATTCAAAAGGATGGTAATATATTGTAATTGTAAGACATTTTTTGTCGTTGGGCTTCCAAGTGGCCAATTAACTCCAAAAAAACATAAAATACTAATAGGATGAATATATACTGTATGAATATGGCATTCCTGCATAAACTAAAAAGGCCAACTAACCAGCATTTCCTTTTCTCCAAGTTCTGCTCATAATATTAATTCCTGTGGTTTCAAAATAATAAACTAGTGTCCATAAACTGATGGCCATATGGATTTCCTACATAAATTCTAAATGTCTGGCTAACCAACATTTTACATTATTCAACCTATCATTGAATTGAGAACCACAGCAGTAACTGACTTGAAACTTAACCGGTTTCATCAAAACCGGACCTCCCTCAAACTGCATTTCACAGGCTACAGCAATACTCTATATACCTATAGCCACGTCATTACCCCCTTGGAAAAATGCACTCTACGACACTGGTCTTTTTGTGACAAATCAATTTGACCAATCTGCTTCAAACCTGATAAACATCATTCTCTTAATACCATTCGAGTACAGTCCGACAACATTTCTGTATAACCCAGGAGGATCTAGTGAGTGGCATTTTCTTCTCTTACTGCTAATCACCTTGTGCCACAAAATTCTCCTTTAGAAAAATTTGTCCAATTAACTACGAACTTGGATCCTTTGGTGGCAATATGATTAACGTGGATGTCCATTTTGCTGATCAGACTTGGTAGGTTTCATTGTACTGCCACCTGCTTCAGATTTGCACTTCATATGTTGCAGTAATCACCTTCTTAGAGTAAAACTGCTCATAACGCTAACCACTCTTCTTCAAAAACCATTTTGTGAATGGCAAGTTTCATTCTAGACTGCCCTTACTTTTCTTACAGTTCATTCACACTGAAAACAAGTGAGCAGGAAGTCCACGAAAAGCTTGTGGTTTCCTAATTTTTCTTGACTATTCAGAGAAAAAAGAAAATAAAAGATTCATTTTCATTTTTTATTGGCCAAGTTTCATAATATATGATTAAAATCCAAAACAAACTGTTAACATCACTTATTAAATGAATGAAAACATTACAGTCAATGTTACTGGCCTATAGTGCAATGTTCACTTTAGGGGTAGGTGCAAGACTACAGAAAAACTAAGAAAGCTAAGAAAGCTGAATCACATTAATGCTACAGTTAATGCTTACTGTATATGTGTGCTTCGGGGTTTAAAATTACAGGAGTTTAAGATCCCTTTTTTGGTCATTGGTACAGTACATACATATTTTAATAAAACAAGCAAACTGTAAATTCACCAAATCACTACACCTGCTGTACAGTGTCCTATTACTTGAAATAACTGAGGCTAAAGGATTTCTGCATTCATCACACAAAGTGTGTAACAATGATTGTCTGAAATGCACTTTACTTCTAAAAGGACTTGCATCACTCAAAAATACATATTCCTTTTGGAAAAAAATAAAATTAAAATGTACAGTATAACTCAGTATAGCAAACATGCATTACCTATATAGTGTACAGGACAGTATTTGCCTAATTTGAAAATGAGCTTGTTGTCGTAAATTTTATTCCTTCAGCTTGTAGGCGATTTAATAGAGGTCCATAGATGTTTTTGGTTAAGGGAAGAACTAGTCCTTTTGTCTGAATTTCTCCTGAAAAACAAGGAAAAGTGTTAGAGATGAATTTCTGTAGCTCATTGTACAGTACATCCTACAGTATATATTCTAATCAAATGATTACTTTTTTCACTTTGCTTAAAAAACAGATGCAGTCTATAAATTCTCACCATCCAGCACCATCTTTGCAGCAATCGCTGCAGGATAGCCCACAGTTTTAGCCATCGCAGAGTATCCCTTAGAATTTCCATATACGACCAGACTGATATGCTTGGTTTCTAATTCTCCAGTGGAGTGTCTTATGCCCACATCATTTCGTAAAATGATCATATCACTTTCATCCTTCTCTAAAAAAAGAAAAAAGATCACTCATTAGAAAGAAATGTTTTTACAAAATGGAAACATCATTAACTCTTTACTTCATTATTTATTAATGTTATGTTACATTACACTTGGAAAGCAAAGTGGTGGGGTGTTTATATGTTCACCTTCTGTGGGGAGTTTATATGTTCTCCTTGAGGCCATGTTTGTGTTCTTCATGTGCTACTTTTCCTCCAACATTCCAAATACTTCTAAATTGTCCCCCATATGCATGTGTGAATGAGTGCTCGTGTGTGTGTACCTTGTGATGGACAGGTGTCCTGTTCACAATATATGCTGCCTTGCATTCACTGTCTGATGAGTTAGGCTGTGGCTCACTGTGAACATGTATTGGACTAATTAGATACAGAAAATGGATGATGAATGCATACATTATACTTAGAAATTCTATTGCCAGACTTCAGTATTAAAAAAGTAAATCAGGTTATTCTTTTGCACATACCAAATGAGAGCTTTGCTTCCAGGTGTTTTGCCAGTGCATCTAGCACAGTATCTGCCTTTGGAACAGGATGCTCACTTAACATGTCAAACCTAGCAAGAATACAATTATCAGGTTTTACATCAAACACTTGATATTTCAGTTATTAAATTATGAGGGAGATTTACATTAAAGAATTCCTGACCAGTTCAGCATCTGCATCCTGTAATCATCTTTCCCAATTTTGTTGTAGACGGCCTCTTTAAATTCATCCATGCTGACTGATGGCGAAATTCCAACAAGATGGCATAGAAGTTCTTTCTGCGGGACACCATTAAGGAAGCAATTTAGGCAGCACCAAGGATACTCATAACTAAGTATTCTAGCTTATCTTTGGGCAAACCTTTGATTATTAAAATATTTACAGTTTACCACAATTTGTAATAGACTAAAGAGAGAACTGTGTGAGAAAGAAGAACTCTTCAGATACGTTTTAAATTTTACATACTTTTACAAAATATTCAAAAGTAATACACAGTGCTTTGTTTACACAATTCAATCATTCAGAAACAATTCAATTTCTAATTAAATTATCTCTTTTCCATTTGAGAATATTTTACCTAGACAAAGTCAGCTGAAGAAATCTCAATTTCAAAAGTGATTTTTCAATAATGATAATCAACTATAGGAAGAGTTTATATGATTATAAAGATGTGTCATTCTGATGAAACAGTCAAAGGGCAGAACCTGTAACAGGATCATCCATTTTGTGGCAATTCACCTGTGGGTTGTCAATCACACTAAGTGTACAGACAGATTGGTATGAAGAGATGATTTACTTTCTAAGTACTTTCACTGTTTTCTCAAGACCTACCCATGTAACCGGAGCACTCCCAGTGTTCAGCATTGGACAGGGCTCTGTGTTTATCAGACCCAACTTGAGAAGCCCACTCATAGCATTGGAGAACCCCTGTTGAAACAGAAAGGATGAGCACTGCATAGATGTATAAGCTTCAAGATGACAGCACAATATTTATCAAGGTCTGAATACTGAATACAGCTATTGAAAATACTTTCTGAGGACACTATTTTCAAAATTATGGAACTTTTTATGGATTTATGGAAGTCTCTTTTAGGTCTTTAAAATATAATACTTAATACTACTTAATATACCCTTTAGTATTGCCAAGCAACAACAACAAAAGACTGCAACGTACCTTGAATCTCAACGTCCCCCTTATCACTGTTTGAGCTGACTGGATGCCATAAGGTTCAACATACTTAGTGCTGTCCCTATTGGGGAACCCCTCTAGATTAAAGCCTGGGAAGAAATCCAATGGAGTAACAGAGTCCAACAGAGCTCCTCCTGGAGGAACGTTGATCACCTGAACACAGGGGGCAGAGACACAGAGAAATGGCACGTGTCAGATTTCGGTGTGTAAGTATGCATTATTATGCATATTCAGTGACTGCACTTTTTGCTGAGCACTTTTTGCAGAGCAAATCCATGCCTGTGTTGAAAGAAGTGTATCATTATCTTTAACTTAAACAACATTTATATAAATGCCTGATGGAAAGATTATTTTTGCTGGAGAAGTCTTGATGCTTATGAGGCCCCACTCAATATCCAGGAACATGAGCTCTAGTTAAGATCACTTACAAGGGACAACAGAAATCTAATGTATACTAAGCTTGATGCTTACAAAGAAGAACCACTACTCTTTCCTCTGCTTAGCAGCAAAAACACATCACAATGAAGAAATATACAGTAGAGTCTCAACATGCACAAGGGAACCTTGCAGTCAACTGTCGCAAATTGCCCAAGTTGCATATAACCAAGTCCATCTCTATACAGTTGTGTCATGTACCAAAGTATATAGTGTTTATGGTTAAAATACATAAGTAACCCTCCTTTATATGCTAATTAAAGTACTAATGCATTGGCTTGAGGTTAATTTAAATAGTATTACAAATCTATAGTGATCAGATGAAAAACTACATGAATCCTCATCTCCGTCCAGCTTGCACTTTCTTTCTCTGCCTCCATGCTTATCGCCAATGCACTGTAATAAAACAGGCAATAAAACCTGTAAAGTCATCGCCAGCCTGTCATTCCCCACAATGCAGACATGGAACCTGAAGGTTTCTGTACAATATATAAAGAAGACCAGGTTAAGATGCAGATGCTGGGTTGTGTGTACATGGCCAGGTCTCCAGAAGAGGCTCAGTCACTACTCGATTCGTCTCAGGTACCTAGACTGCTGTGCTGCTAATTTGGAAGTTGCGATTAACAATCTTCAGCTCAGTTTGCTTTTCTTCTATGCAAGACCCCTGCCAGATAGAATTGTGAATAAGCAAATCTGTGAATGTTAATTTTGCAGATGTCGAGAACCTACTGTATAAAATAAAGAAATTTTAGAAAAGAAAATTAACACGTATTTCTTTTAATTTTAGGAAGTTTAAGTTACAAATGGCACACATTAAGAAGTTGCCTACCTTTCCATCTTTCAAAAAGGTAGCAGGACTGATGGTGTTCAGCAGGACCCCATAAGGACTCCAGCTGAACTTGTAGCGCAATGGGTTGTCGGAGCACTCTGGGGCAGGAAGTCCTCCACAGAAAGATACGTAGGATTCCACCTGAAGTCACAGTGTGAAAGAAAATAAGCTTTTTCCCTCATTAAAGACTGCACATCAATAGCGTTTCCACACTGCCCTAAATTTAAAATTACACACTTCTGCAAGAGAAGAATTACTGTAATATTATTGACAGCCCGACTGTCTTTTTACTCGCTCAGTGCCAAGTGCGTGCTGAATTTCACCCACATTATCCCTACATGATACAAAGACAGCAATCACATCCCACCTCGTTCAGCAGGCACTGTGAAAATGTGTGATCATAACACATCTTGAGAGGCATCTCTCTCATTGTTTTTGAAACAATGGAACGTCGGGTAGGAGACAGTGTTGGGTTTTAGCAAAATTAATCCACCAGGTCAAAAAGGGAAAAAAAGCACAAATGATGCCATCCTCACAAACACATGGTATCTCAAGCTGTTAAATCTCAGAATAATACAATCTATAAAAAAAAACTGGAAGAAGCGAAAGATGTAAATTAAGCTTCAGAACCTCCATAATTATTTAATCAGTAACACTTAACGGTAATAATAACCAAAAATGAACAAAAACTGATTAGAAAGCCTATCAAATTGAAAAATGTTGAATAGCAAATTTAATTGCAATGGTGTCATATGATACTGGTTGGAAATATTGCAACAAACAAATTTGATCCTGTTCATGTATACATACACACAACTATAAAATATAAAAATATACTTATGTCGTCCCTAAACTAGTGTTGAATCACAAATTAAATGGCACAGATGAAGGTAACTACACAGAACACATTCATAATGCCCTGTTTATTGAAAATGTACACACTTTAACTATTGAAGAACATATGACAGAACATATAATATATAATGCTAAAGCACTACACAATATAACGGTTAGAACCGCAAGCCTCTGTGCTGCAACTGAACTGTTCCGGTAATGCCCACCAATATAAACATGTGAAACTGCTAATTTATTTACATATATGGATTTAAGAAATGAATAAATGACATACCTAAATACACATTAATGCACTGTCCCCTGATTAACACTGTAAGTACAACAAAATGTACCTGGTTGAAAGGTTAGTCAAAGGTAATTAATATGTGCACACATACAGGCTGAATCTTTTTGGGATAGCAGCACTCAAGCTAAGATTGTACCCTTGTTATACAATCTTATTTCATTCCTTGAAAACTGCTTGTAAAGTGAAAACATGTATGATTGATATTCAATTCCCATTCCATCCAGAACTTGAGGAAAAATGTTCCCTGAAATTCATTAGCCGAAGCATGAACAACAGATATAAAAACAATACTAATTTCTGGTATTGTACAGAACAATGTTACATTGTTAGCAGTCGTAAACAATTAGGTACTATATGCACTTGACACATAAGCCTTTATTATAAAAATAAAAAGTAAATTCCTCATGAGAAGAAAATGCTCTACGAGAACCCAGTTCGTAAGAGTGAAAATCTGCTCGTTAAATGAAAAAAAAACAGAAATCACATAAATTAAAACTCATACAATGGTTCCTCGTATAGTTAGGGATTAATGTATATACTTTTTGCATATTTGTTAGTGATTTTATGCATGACTTCCAATACCAGGTCCATCTCTGAGTAGTGCTAGGTTGAAAAAAAGCACACAAAATTCCAGAAGGTGATAAGTATAAAAGGTGTAGCATACTGCTATTATTTACACAAAAATATACGTACAATGCATCCATCTGCTGCTGCCTGATTGATGCAATCCATTGCCAACATGTGATCAATGCCAGGATCTAGACCCATTTCATTCACAATAGTTATGCCAGCGTCTTCTGCACTATGGACAATAAGGAATGTATAAAAAGTTAACATGGACTAACAAGCTAATGAGACTGCAATGATTAGTTTCACATCAAATCATTTACCTATTCAGGGCAACAGTATAGAGCAGTGGTTAGGGCACTGGACTTATAACAGGATGGCTGTGGGTTTGAATCCCAAGTGAGACACTGCTGTTGTACCCTTGAGGAAGATACTTCACCTGAATTGTTCAAGTAAAATACTTATCTGTATAAATGTCACTGGAAAAGAAGTAGCATTACTACATATATTATGCATAACAGGAGATACCTTCTGATTTGCACATCTTAATTACTATTAATGAATACTAAAGTAAATACAAGATGTTTTTGTAACTTTAAACAGCATTGATTTAATTAATGGTTTAGGATTATTTAAGCACATTAAACGTTTTAAAACTATAATTAAAATCAATTAATGTTATGAACCTTATTTATCAAGTATGCCAATTGAAATGGAAGACTCCCATGTTACCACTGTATGGAAAGCTTGAATTGTGAATAAACAGCAGACCTGCTGGAACTTACCTTTTCTGAAGTTCTTTCATGGCTGGAGAGAGGTAACTTGCTGTGACCATGTTCACTTTATTATTAATACAATGTTTTGCAACCATGGGGTGAAATGAATAAGGCAGCAAACTGTTAACAGAAAGAAAAATATTCACCAGGCGCCAAAGAAAAATTAGAAAATTGTACGAGAAGAATGAGTCGATTAAACTTAATAACAACAAAAGTTTCAGATCTTGAAATAACACAAGTCTGATACCAAGGACAATAAAAAAAATCAGATTCTTAAAAATGATAACAGATACTGGAGAAGCTGATAAACAATTATAATAATTAACCGAAAGAACCATACTCCTCAATTAGATGAACTGCAACTACATGTGTACATTTTTCTTGAGTTCTGAAAACAAAACAACTAGATTCTACATGTTTTGAATATTCGTTAACAGTTAACACCAATTTGAACAAAAACAGATTTTTTGTACTGTGATGTAAATACCTGATGACTAGATCATGGTCTTTAATAAGAGAATTAAGACGGTTCTCCTGATTGGTCACATTCAGCATAACAGGGATGGTGTTAGGATACTTGTGAGCTAGCTCTTCAGCCTGATCTTTCATCACAGATGCTGATTAGAAAGAGAAAAACATATAATGATCAAGTGAACATGGAACGGATTTAAGTCATGATGATTCGCTGACAAATTGGCTGGTAAATCTAAATTAACCAGAGCATTAACACTAAATAACTGCACAGGAGAATTTCTAAATTGTTATGCAACTTACTTTAAAAAAACATGAGCACATTTTGTACCAAGTACAGTGCTGTATATTCTTATTACTGATACTGTATATGCAAATCTAAAACATATCAACTATGATCTTAAAGTTAATCTTTGAAGGAACCAATGAGTTTTACAGCAAAGTTCATTATGATTGTTATCCTGCAAGGAAGCAACACAGCCCTTACCTACTGTTACTTGTGTGCCTGAATCTCTAGTGAGGTACTCGATGACTGGCCCAGATACATATCCAGATCCTAGCAACAGCACTCTCCGTTTACCACCCATTTTAAGAATCTGTGCATGTTCTCTAAAATAAAAAAAATATTTTATCAGCAGTAAATTCATACGATCACAGACATCAACATTGGCATCTTCTCCAATAATACTCCTGGGTACATTGACAACTGTCTTGAACTTCTTCCATTAGTAAATTCTTTCTCACTTTGGAATGGTGGACTTCATATTATTTGGAAATGGCTTTATAATCTTTCCCAGACAGGTGAGCAGCAACGATTCTTTCTCTGAGACCTTCACAGATATCTTTTGACAAAGGCATGATGTGTTACAACAAACCTGAGTGCTCCAGACCAAACTCACAGTTTCTTACTTTATATACAGGTGGAAGCACTTCCTTATGATCAACTTATCATGTGCACTTGTGTAGCAGCACTTAATTCGAAATACTTCTTAACTGACATGGAAGCAGTAAGGGAACGCTTACTTTTTCACACAAGACTTCTGAGTGTTGGGTGATTGTTTTATTTAGTACAGTACATAATGACACTTATGTGTCTTATTTGTCACTCGAGGTTAGATATATCTACTGCTGGGACTTTGTGAGGACTTGGTGAAGGTCAGATATGTCTTAATACGTAAAATAATAGAATTTTAAAGGGGAACTGCAGTCCCAATTTCTCAGACCAGTTATTAAAACTTGGTAACAATTTAACAATAACAAAAAATAAACCAATTGACGGTATAAAACTTTTACAAATTTCAAATTAAGCACAACATAGTGAACTTTGTGAAAGTACTATAAGTCGCTATGTTGTCGCAAACCCATGGTCTCACCACCGGCAAGAATGAGAGTTCCCATGAATTGTGACGTGATGCGGCCCCTTACTGCTCACTAGTAATGACTGATGTAATGTACAAGCAAATAAGGTAAAGGTTGTGGAGCAGACATTTCACCGCAGAAATGTTCTAATTTGTTCCGCATGCAGAGTTAACAAGTTGTATTTGCCAGCAAAACTGTGTCAGAATCAAGAGCAATATTTCAATTGGATTAAAAGAGATGTAATAGGGGTGTCACTAGAAGTTTTGTTGCCTCGCTCTGAATATGGTGCTGCACATACCTGGAAATTTAGTCTATTTTGTGATGTAAATTGTTGGTTTTACAAGTAACTATGTACATGTTACTTTTATTGTGGTTTCAAATGCACTCACCAAAGCTGATTCTTTCTAACCCCAAATAATACAAATAGTGTTGCACTCTCTTTTAAGAGAGTGTACTTTCCTTTTCACTTTCTTTCACATTCACAAGAATATCACAAATATGTTTTAGGCTATGAGTTTTAAAGGAAATAACTCACAAGAAATTGTACCTACTAGCTAGTAGGATAAATGAAATTTCTATAAACTAGACATGATTCAATTATCAAATTAATATGGTTTTACAAATAACAGGCACTTCTAACTATATTTATATATTCTATAGACAAATAAATATTATTTATTCTAAAAGCTTAGGTATTTAAATCCTTGTAGGGATCAAACACTATTTAAGGGTCTAGCTGTTTTGAATATAGTGCCAATTATTTTACTTTTAATGAATGAGTGAATAATATACAGTAGCCAGGAATGCCAACTGTTGCATCTGTGATTTTAATGGAAAACTGTTAATGAATACCAAAAAAGAATTAAAGTGGCCATTTCTTTTATTCACTCAAACTAAACATATTGCCATGTAAAATGGAAAAAAACAAACACATCTAATCAAAAAAGAAAAAGCTTTCTAGACACTTTGTAACAAAAATAACATTTTGTTGTATTGGATTTTATCAGTTAGGAATTTTATTTCTTGAATATCCAGCTTCCAAATCAACAATATTCTCACAGCTTGGGCCAAATGTTAGCTTGAATCGCAAAGATAGAAACAGTATAAGCACTCATCTGATTTAATTTTGCAATGCCTTTAATCACATAAGTATTTAATTAAGCTTTTAGCGAACATCATGTGGTTTACTGATTCTTTCACTATCTTTTCTATAAGGAAGAAGGAAGAAGAGGGTAGTTTTCTTCCAAAGAGAGTTCTAAATGTACTTTTATAGAAAAAAATGAATAGTTCTTATGAATAGAAAAGACATGGACACTCCAGGCTTATAAACCTTTAGCTATGAGAGCCATTTAAGTGTACTTTTAAGATGAATCAAGGAACAAAAACATTCACATATATATATATATCAACATGGAAGGCAGATAACTTGCAAAGCCAAGATTTCACTATCAATAATATGGTTCAAATCATAGTAGGAAGTCAAACATCCAAAAACTACCAGAGACAAAGGAAGGTGGGTTTATGGATTGCCACTATGTTTTCCATGTCCATACTATTTTCTGTAAACAGGATACAATTGGCTATTCTGTGGGAGATGTGGCACTAAAACACAAGAAAGGCTTACATATTGAGGGACTGGAGGAAAAATAAAACTACTGATCTTATTAGATTAATATCTAGGGCTGGTATAACAGGAGAATTAATATGCTTAGCTTAGTAACAATCCTACCTGTATCTCCCCCAGTCTACTCTGAATTCATACAACCAGGCAGATATACAGTGCCTTGCGAAAGTATTCGGCCCCCTTGAACTTTTCAACCTTTTGCCACATTTCAGGCTTCAAACATAAAGATATAATTTTTTTATTTTATGTGAAGAATCACCAACAAGTGGGACACAATTGTGAAGTGGAACGAAATCTATTGGATTTTTGAAACTTTTTTAACTAATAAAAAAATGAAAAGTGGGGCGTGCAAAATTATTCGGCCCCTTTACTTTCAGTGCAGCAAACTCACTCCAGAAGTTCAGCGAGGATCTCTGAATGATCCAATGTTGTCCTAAATGACTGATGGTGATAAATAGAATCCACCTGTGTGTAATCAAGTCTCTGTATAAATGCACCTGCTCTGTGATAGTCTCAAGGTTCTGTTGAAAGTGCAGAGAGCATCATGAAGACCAAGGAACACACCAGGCAGGTCCGTAATACTGTTGTGGAGAAGTTTAAAGCCGGATTTGGATACAAAAAGATTTCCCAAGCTTCAAACATCCCAAGGAGCACTGTGCAAGCGATCATCTTGAAATGGAAGGAGTATCAGACCACTGCAAATCTACCAAGATCTGGCCGTCCCTCTAAACTTTCAGCTCAGACAAGGAGAAGACTGATCAGAGATGCAGCCAAGAGGCCCATGATCACTCTGGATGAACTGCAGAGAACTACAGCTGAGGTGGGAGAGTCTGTCCATAGGACAACAATCAGTCTTACACTGCACAAATCTGGCCTTTATGGAAGAGTGGCAAGAAGAAAGCCATTTCTCAAAGATATCCATAAAAAGTCTCGTCTAAAGTTTGCCACAAGCCACCTGGGAGACACCCCAAACATGTGGAAGAAGGTGCTCTGGTCAGATGAAACCAAAATAGAACATTTTGGCCACAATGCAAAACGATATGTTTGGCGTAAAAGCAACACAGCTCATCACCCTCAACACACCATCCCCACTGTCAAACATGGTGGTGGCAGCATCATGGTTTGGGCCTGCTTTTCTTCAGCAGGGACAGGGAAGATGGTTAAAATTGAGGGGAAGATGGATGCAGCCAAATACAGGACCATTCTGGATGAAAACCTGTTGGAGTCTGCAAAAGACCTGAAACTGGGACGGAGATTTATCTTCCAACAAGACAATGATCCCAAACATACAGCAAAATCTACAAAGGAATGGTTCACAAATAAACGTATCCAGGTGTTTGAATGGCCAAGTCAAAGTCCAGACCTGAATCCAATCGAGAATCTGTGGAAAGAGCTGAAAACTGCTGTTCACAAACGCTCTCCATCCAACCTCACTGAGCTCAAGCTGTTTTGCAAGGAAGAATGGGCAAGAATTTCAGTCTCTCGATGTGCAAAACTGATAGAGACATACCCCAAGCGACTTGCAGGTGTAATCGCAGCAAAAGGTGGCTCTACAAAGTATTAACGCAAGGGGGCCGAATAATTTTGCACGCCCCACTTTTCATTTTTTTATTAGTTAAAAAAGTTTCAAAAATCCAATAGATTTCGTTCCACTTCACAATTGTGTCCCACTTGTTGGTGATTCTTCACATAAAATAAAAAATTTATATCTTTATGTTTGAAGCCTGAAATGTGGCAAAAGGTTGAAACGTTCAAGGGGGCCGAATACTTTCGCAAGGCACTGTATAAAGAGGCAGAAAGACAGTGAGGTCTGGTGAGGTGAAAATATTTAACTGAAAGCCTGACATTTATTAAACATTTCCCTTTAATAAATGCAAGTCAATTGTTCTTTTTTTTCCCCAATACACGGTAGCAGTAAGCAGGAACCTAGCCTAGCAAACACACAGAATATATCCTGGACTGGATGCCAGACATTTGCAGGACAAAAACAGACAGACTTGATTTACTACTAAACCTGGACATATCTCTGGCTGGTAGGAGAAAACCAGAGCATCTGGGAAAAGCCTGGGCAACCACAGAGAGATCATGCAAAAGCATACAGAAGGCACCCTAGGAATGAAATGCCACCAAATTCTGATCCACCATCTTGAATCTTATAGCTTCAAATTTGAGTGTCATTTTTCACGAGGAACCCTTCAAAAAGCCTTCCTGAGAACTGAAGATATGTCACTGTCCTTGTTGCTTTTAAAAAAGTTATAGAAAATGAAGTCAAATAAGACTTTCCATTCTTAAGACCATCGCGGCTATATCTAAAAATGCTATTATTTTGTAAAAATTCTCCATTTAGCTTCGACTATTATTTCCATAGCATTAGCAGTAAATGTAAAGTTATGTTAATGTAATGGCAAGTAATTTGTGTAACAAATCCTGATTTTATTTACAGTCTTTAGAGAGTTCCTTTCCTGTTTTTTCCATTAAACAATTTAGGCCACATTTTTGTAATTTATTAATTGAAATCAACATACAGTACATTTCATTTTTGTTTTTGAAGTTTAGCCACCTTTTTCTCTGATGATCCTGTTTTTTTGTGTACCAACATCACGGCTTATTAGACAAAATAAATAAATAAGAGTGTCTTAAATTTGCAAAAGAAATGTATTCCTGATCTGTTCATACACTACTCTTGTGTCCATAACTGCAATAGATTGTCTACATTAACAGACTATCAAGGACTTAATGTCTTTTTCAGTTTAACAAATATGCATCTTAAAATGACTGTATCCTCTTGTTTCAGCTGTTTAAGATTTTTTTTAAGATCACTTTATTGGCAATATACAATTTATTGTATTAGGAATTTGTCTTTTCACATACCCCAACTTGCTCTCAATGAGACACAATGACAGGGAGAGAAGTTTGGGGTCAGAGCGCAGGGTCAGCCATTTATACGGCACCCCTGGAGCAGTTGGTGTTAAGGGCCTTGCTCAGGGGCCCAACAGAGGATTCCTCTGCCAGCCACAGGATTTGAACCGGATTTGATATACTAAGATTTGTAAAAATCCAACAAATGACTATTGGAAGCAATGGCATGTTGCCTTTTTAATACCCACCTCTGTACATATAGTCCTCCCTGTCTATGATGTGTATTTGTTCTAAAAAACTGTGACAGTATGATATACAGTACACACCCATCATCCTCCTCTAGTCACATCTCAGTTATTCTTATAGAGTAATAATTACATGTTAATACAGTTGCTCATGGAATTTTCTTGTTTAGAGCATTTGGAATTTGTTCCTTAGGCTTCTAGCATTAATTTCTAAACATCTAAAAACAGTTGTATTACTTGTTTTATGTCTTTTCTTAGTATCCCGAGGCTTAGGTATCTAGAGGTTTTAGCAAATGGTCAATTCACAGATATGGAACTTAATACCTTATGGGGAGAATTAGGCATGGTTCTGCAGCTTGCAAAACAAGCATTTCCATAGTAATATTTTTGTTACAATTGCTATTTATTTCAGAAATAATGTTAGTAATTATTGACAGTAGGTCTTTAAATGAAAATGAGTACTGGTTACTTAAAAAGCATTGTTTTCCCCCTATAAATCAAGTTACTGCATGTACAAACAAATAATATCAAGCAATTATGATATAATATCTTACGCTGTATTCGAGTTTGTTTTATTCATTATTAGTAGAGAGCATTTTCTTTACTTTTTGTATCTTGTTTTTATTACTATGTTAAACACTGCACTACTGTAATAATTATTACATCAAGGTAAAAACTGAAAAGAAAGTAAATTAAGTGTATTAACTTCCCTCCCTCAACCTGTTCTCTTTCTCAGAATTTCTTTTCTTACCTTTTCTGCACAAGATTACAAAGTTTGCGTTAAAAATACAATTTTTGCTCAGTGATAAGATGCACAAATTTAGTAAAAAGTATTGTAACGCAACGGGGGTTCAGGCGGGCACCCTTGCCGCATTAGGTCGGCCCCCCACCGTCGGGGGCTCGAACCCGGGACTCCCGCGTCACTCAACAGGGACCCAGCCTGGTGAGCCAAAGAGAGATCTCCCTACAGCCCAGTAGCTGTAGTCCTGCTATCACAGGGAAGGGTGGTGACGTCACCTGCTCTGGTACGCCGGCTCTTATACAGTGCCTGTCGGCCATAAGCGTTACAGTATAAAGACTTATACACAGTATTTGTTTTATCTTCCAATGTCAGATTGAAAAACCACTTATAATAGCTGCAACAACATGAAATAGAAGGAGCCAAGAGCATGCACAGTATTAAAAAAATAAAAGGATAAAATCCTCACCTGCTTTCCCTGAGTTTCTGAATATATTCGAACTTTGGAGTCAGCCTTCCATTAGATGCAATTACTGCCTATAATCAAAAAAAGAAAATCAAAATAGATTCATCTTAAATCCACAGAAAGATGAGACACTGACTCCTGGTGGTGGGTGTGACTGTGATTGATCAGTTACCAGAACAGGCTTGAAAGGTACAGGCATATTCAAAGTTTAAGAAGAATAAGCAAATGTGTTTTTAAGGAGTTGTACTGCATAGAAACATTATTTTGAAGAATAGTCTCGATATTGGGAATGGAAAGAAAGTAGAAAAGGTTAGTATGGCCATTAAAAAGGTAGTGAATCTTAGCTTTATTTAGCATGAATGAACTCTCTGGACAAATACTGTTGTATATTAAGAGAAAATTCAAGTTCTGGGGATCTTTTGTTGAGACGATTGCCTTCTGCAGTTCTGAGTGAGATACATGGAAGTGAGCACTGCACATGTTTTTTTAAAAAGAAAAAAAACTTCTAAAACTTACATCTCTCACTTGGGGGGAGAACTGTTGTTTTTCCAAAGGAAGTGCAGCATCTGAAGAAAGCTGTGAAGCACAGAAAATATTTGTATTATAAGATTAAGAGGTCTAGATGGTATGTGTATTGTTTTTGTTTTAGTAAAATGAATTACCTTGTCAAGAAAACCTTCTCAACATGCATAAAATAGCATAGTGATTTAGAACTAAAATATAATCAGCATCTTTTACATCTCACACTAACTCATGTTTTTATCCCCTTTAACCTTGTTCCCTTTGTTCAGTTTTTAGTGATTGCAAAGTGTATACATCGACTCCCCCTGGTTATGTAAGTGTTCGGTTTTTCAAGTCTTTATGCAATCCGAATCTTGTGTAAATCGGAAGTAACCCTTTCTTGGCTGTTGCTTATCGTAGAGAGTGGCACATAGCAAGAGAGATAATGGAAACTGCAGCTAGCAGGCCATGACGTAGAAAGAAAATTCCAATCTTTACATGTGGGGACAGGAATGAAATATCGATAGATGGAAAAAAAACATTTCAAAAATCTATAATTAGAACAATTAAACACAAAATATAGCATACACTTAAAAATACATAGTACCATAAATATATCTGATAATATTACAGTTTAACAAACATGTCAATACAGTACTGTACATCTTTCAGCACTGTACTGTTCAGTAATTGGACACAAAAATAATATGCACAATAAATAATAAAAATAATACAATCACTTGGGTGCATCCCTGGCATGATTGCAATGCAGAATTCTCAAAATCTTCAATACAAAGCCGCAAAATAATAGACAAGGATTACCACACACAAAAGAATGCTACAAAACAAAGCAAAACTAAAGTGTAAAACAGGGCCCTGTTGGAGACCACATTACTTCTCCTCCTGGATACTGGATACTATTAAAATGATTTGCTTTAAACCAAAAGACCAATTATTGATACTGTGGGTGAAGAAACAGAGCCAGATTAATCTCCTTTTATTGAGACACCTGAGCTTTTTGTCTTTCAAACGTTTTGACATTTCTGGGGGCAGTGTGGCTATGGATGTAATCAGGCTGTTCTCCACATTGAGTCTTTTCCTCTGCTTGGTTTTGATTTGGGTCAAAGCTGAGAAAGCCACTTCACACCAGTAGGTAGATCCAAAGGGTAAAAGTTTATTAAGTGCATATTTCCCCAACTCAGGGTATTCCTATACCACATCACACCAGAACTGTGTCAGGGCCTTGTCTGCATGTTTCATCTTCAGCCCACGGTCTGAGGACACATCCATCAGATGTTCCTGCAGCCTGGCAGGAAGGCTGCCGCTGCTCTGTCACACTGAAAGGGTTCCTGACCCAGTCCAGTTTAGCAGACCTGGTTTCAATGTCACTGAAGTATGAGTTCACAATTGCTTTCACAATTTTCACTATAGCAGCTCTGTCTGTGTCAGTGGTGGTAAGATGGGCATCAAGCAGTGGGAAACAGCTCACATCTCCACCCTCACATTTCCTCGCCCACAGTTTGACCTTCCTTATGAATCCATTCACCTTGTCATACACGTTCAGGGGTGTAGGTCCTCCTTCAGAATAGCACATACCTCGGTGCGATGTTCAAACAGTCTCTCTAGGGTTTTGCCACGGGATAACCACCAGACATCAGTATGAAGCAGTTGCTGCTCATGCTCTGATCCAATGTCTTGACAAAGACTTTGAAACAATCTGTGATTTACAGGTCTGGACTGGATGAAGTTGATCAATTTAACTGCATCGTTCAAAACAGCACTTAACTCGGGGCTCATTATCTTACTGGCCAATGCCTCCCAGTGAATACTGCAGTGTATCCACTCAATGTTGGGGTTTACCTTCTTGACATGCCCGTGCAACCCATGCACTCTGCCTATCATCGCTGCTCCCCCGTCAGTACATACATGACTGCACGATTGATTTCCAATCCAGATTGTTGACCTTGAAAACACTAATTATGACTTGAAAAATGTCCTCACTGGTAATCTTCTCTGTAAGCTTCTTGCAAAACAAAATATGCTAATTTATGTCAGACTCTTCTTTGTAATGGACAAAGGCAATCAGCTGTGCCTCCCCACTAGTATCTATTGATTCATCTTACACCAAAGCGAACTGACCTGCTTGATTCAGTTTTCCACCATTTGGCCAACAATATTAAGGGACATGTCATCGATCCGACAGCAGACTGTGTTATTTCATAATGGAACTGTTTTGATTGCATCAGCTGCTTTATCAACCATCGTTTCCGCCAAAATTATGGCTGTGGGGAGAACGAGTTCCTCGCCGATGGAATGAGGATCCTTTGACTTGGCCACAAGTAGCGACACAGCAAAAGAAGCCTCCCGTGCTTTGGCTGAATCGGTTGTGGCTTTCTTCAGTTTGGGGCTTTCTTCAGTTTGCTTTGACTTGACTTTAGACAGTTTTCGTTGGAAAAATGCATCAGTCTTACCAACGTAGGAGGGGTGTTTGGTGCTCAGGTGCCGCTGTAGATGGGCTGGCTTCATGGAACTTCACGCAGAAAAAACACAGTGGCTATGGTTGGTCCGCAACCGTACATGTAAAGCCATACAAAACATACTGATCTTGGAAATGGCGATGTTTGGGCTTTGTCTCTTTTTTCTTTTTTTCGGTAGGCTCACCTAATTTGAATTCATTCTGTTATTGCCACTTGGAGTGATAGCAGCCGATGTTTCAACCATACAGTATATCCATTAGCTCTCTACTTTTGCTCGCTAGCTTTCGCGCTTCTCTCAATCATAAGAAGTGGTGTTACACCTGACACAGGCAGGTGGGAAACTAGATGAGGTGTGTGCTGTGCAATAACGCAGGAATGACTGTTATAAATAGGCTACACTAGACATCAACATCTCACCGATTTAATCTATTATTTATTTATTTTGTTCCTAATCACAATTATGTTGATCGGAAGTGAAACAGTATTTGACATATTTATTAAAATGTCAAGTAGTAATTTCTATTTTGACAATTAAATTGAATCCACAATCTACCCACGTACCCCTTAGTAGCTGCTCACATACCCTCTAGGGTACAGGTACCCCCGGTTGTGAATCACTGGTTTAGACTAGTAAGTGGAATGTTGCAAGTTCAAATTCCAGGTTTTGTACCACTGAGTAAGGTACATTGCCACAACTACTTCAATTCCCACCCATAGAAATGTAAATTACTTTAGGTTGTCATCTGTCAAATCAGTCAAATGAATCAGTAATGAAGAATGTAACTTAGCACAGCAAGAATATGCACAGTTATAAATATTTACACTGTATAACAACAGATTTACACATTGCTAAAGTAGTAAAAACAGAGCTCTAGAGAATAAAACTCACTAGCTAATCACTGGTCCCATGCCTGTCACATGGTGGTGGTCCTTGTTTCCAACCAATGGAAAATAGCCATATAGTAGTAATAATAATAATAATAATAATAATAATAATTGCTTACACCTATATAGCATATTTTGGACACTCCACTCAAAGTGCTTTACAGGTAATGGGGACTCCTCTACACCACCACCAATGTGCAGCATCCACCTGGATGATGTGACAGCAGCCATAGTGCAGCAGAACGCTCACCACACATCAGCTATCAGTGGGGAGGAGAGCAGAGTAATGTAGCCAGTTCATAGAATGGGATTATTAGGAGGCCATGATTGGTAAGGGCCAATGGGAAATTTGGCCAGGATGCAGGGGTTACACCCCTACTCTTTTCGAGAAACGCCCTGGGATTTTTAATGACCACAGAGAGTCAGGACCTCGGTTTTACATCTCATCCGAAGGACAGCGCCTGTTTACAGTGTACTGTCCCCTTCGCTATACTGGGGCATTAGGACCCACACAGACCACAGGGTGGGCACCCTCTGCTGGCCCCACTAACACCTCTTCCAGCAGCAAACTTAGTTTTTCCCAGGAGGTCTCCATCCATGTACTGACCAGGCTCACACCTGCTTAGCTTCAGTGGGTTGCCGGTTGTGAGTTGCAGGGTGATATGGCTGCTGGCCATATGAAACTAGGGGTTAAAATTTTGTCAGGGTCAGGTAGATTGAGGTCTTGAATCCATTTGATTACTTCTTCTCAAACCATTACAATGTTTGTCTAATAATTACAACATTCTGGTCTGTCACAATCAGGATTTCAAAGTTGGTTTGCAAAGCTACAGCCATACATAAATACTGAGGTACAGTATGCCTTAAGAATCACATATAAGGCCAGGATGCATATCAGCATTCACAGGAAAATTAAACAACACATCATGGTCCCCTTTTTTGGTATCTTACCATCTCCCAGATATAAGGAAAAAGTCTGTCTCCAAAGTATTCAGTGGCCTCTATAGGCAGCTGAGCTGGCAAATTATCAATGGAGCACATAAGAATGCCAGTGCCCTCCACACTGTCAAAAAAAAAAAAGAAAATTGACATTACTCATTTATAGAAAATGTAGCAGTTTTACTGCAATTGCATCTGCAATATAAAGCCAAATGGTATTTCATTTGTATTTCAGTTATATATGCAAACTTAAAAAATGACAACGTCAAACAAATTTAAAGGGTTGTAATTAAAAAAACTATTTCTCAGGACAATTTATGCCATTCTCAATCATTGCAATCCATTGGAAAACATAACCTATCTAAAATTAATAACAGAATGCATAAGTTTTTGGAAAAACAACCATTCAAAACTGTGAACTAAACTGGAAACAATCAGATCAACATTTTGGCACAGCAGCTATTTTGAAGACTGTATACATTTAAGTTATGCAACTTTAAATGTACTGTAGCTTTCAGTCTCAGCTAAATTAATTTCTCTTAAAAGCTTAAATCCAACTGAACTTTGACCTAACATCCTATAGTATATGTAGCTGCGTCAGCTGAAGAAGGCTCCACAGCAGAAACATTGTGTTTCCTTTCTTCTCTTTTCAGCATGGAATTAACCTATTACTTGTTCCTACATCATACAGTATATATTTCATGATATAGGATGTGTAGTATGACTTCTTCCTGTCTTCCTCCCAACACCTATTTAGATTTAAATAGGTAAAGAAGAGATTTGGGAATTTTGCCTGTGGAAAGAATTAGGTGAATACAAGACATTTTTTTTTTTACCTGCCATGATCTATATGCTGGTCGGCATCATACATACAGAATGGATTATCAATTGTTGTGCACTCTGTCATAAATTCTATGGAGCCCCCAGTGTCCGCAGAAATGTCACAGATTGCAAGAAATCTGTAAAAGGAATGCGGGTAATTTAAATTAAACTTTTGAACCAGAACCCATTACACATTTAAGAATGTTATACAGTGATAATTGGTGATACAGTATGTAGAGCCAGAACGTTGGTGGGAGATATCCAGTCTATGCCACAACAATATGGGCAACATCTTATCTGTCACAAATAAGTTTCGCTGTAAACAATAACCATAATTTAGGCAATTTCTAAAGATGGTTGTATATTTTATGGGTCTACAGATTGAGATGATTTCAGCCCCATTCCCACATCATGAACTGTCATCGGCCACTGACCGATGTGGCAATTCTGGCCAGCCTTCAGTGGAGAAAGCAGATGGCTTTACGGGTCTGAGAAGTCTCTGCGCGTCTCTTCGATTAAGAAGGCGAGGTGTGTGTGGGTCCCAGTAGATCCCATTAATCAAGCAAGTTGTATAAGGGGCAATCTGAAAAACAAAAAGGCATTTCACATTTCCATACAACAAAATACCATAAAATCAATAATAGATCAATGCAGTAAATCTCTACAATTGCATTAACACTCTTGAATAGCAACTGATATGACACAGCCTGGCTTGCACTTCTTATCTACCCTGAGAGCACTAAAAAACAGAAAACAGCCATATCCAATCCAAGGTCATCAATAGAATTGAAAAACAGATAATATCCATACGTGTATAACACCAGGTCATTTATCAGAACACAGAGAAAGCAGCCCTTTTCTTTCTTCTGTTTCTTTTTAAATAGGTAAGACATGAGAGGCTAACAGTTAAAACCAATTAGATTTCTTTACATTCTATGTATCTCCTGCACAAGCTAAGAACCAGCAGGAGGAAATGTCAAAAAGGTGCAAAGAAAGCTGTTAAGTACCTTCTTGAGCTGTAATATAAGCAATTTTTCAAATTACAGTATGACTTTTGTCAAACAAGCAGCCAAAAGCTAGGAAAATGCATCTTTATAATTATATATATATATTTTAATTATGAACTACATGACAAAATGTTACTTACATTCACATTAAAATGAGAAGTATAGAGTTCAGGGTGTTGTTCATATTCCACTGGGTCATATTCTCCATCACTTTTCCTCACAAGATGATGGTGGCGACTCAGTACAGTTCCATAAACTTTATTTAAGTCTACAATTTGAAAATATACATTTCATTTCAGTTTTGAACATTCAGCTAAAAATCAGCTAATACAGCAAAGCTTCACCAACAAACCTACCTCCAGATCTGGAAACATCTTGCAATTCATGGGGCTCCACAAATTCACAAGGAAGCTCATTGAATACTTCCTGGGCACCCTGCAGAAAAGACAGATTGAGGAATATCAATGTTACCTGTACATGTAAAAATCAGAATGGCATTTGCTTGATCTACAGACTGAATCAATTTAAGTTAGTTTAATTCAGAGATTTTCCTGAAAAACAACTTTAATCCCTGTGACAAGATAAACACACTTAAACTGGTTATGAAATCTGATGATCATACTGTAGATCTATACCATCTCACTCAGTCAAATTTTCAGAACTATGGGGTGCATGTGTACCTAACCAGTGCTTTTATGTACAAGTGACCTTCATAATCACATACTGAGTGCAGTGAGTAACTTTCACAGCTACAGTCATTATTCTATTAAAGAAGGGAAGGTCACGAATGAGAGGAGGCCATTCAGTGTATCTTTGTCGTTGGTATATGAAGTACAGCCATTTAGAGCATAAACATTTCGTTTTTAGTCTATTTTAAATGTATAGGAGTTTTCAAATTATTATCTGCTTCAAAACAGTATAAATATATTTAGAAACAAGTAAAGGTGTATTGTTTTATTTTAACTACTGTAAATGCAAAACTATGGCAGCTTTAATATAAATAGTATTCCAAACCAAAACTATATAGTTAAGAATGTTCTCAAACCTTGATTATACCTGCCTGAAAAAAGTAAATTTAGCAACACACCAGAAAGAGAATTCTACTTGTCCAAGGTTTACTACTACTCCTCTAATTTGATTTTGAAATGGAGTTCTTGCTAAGCTTATGTTTATTTGTACTTTCTTCAGAATGACTCATTTTGCAATTCAATTTTCACCATGCTTATATTTAATGATAACCTCTAAACAAAAAGGCTACCGATACATTTCACATTAAAGTAATAGGGTGTCATACAGTACATAAAACTGTGTATTTTCTACTAAGCAATATAGAAAATAATGGTATTTATTTGTAGATTTTAACAATAAACAAAAGAACGTAAAAAAGAACTTCGTGGTTACAAATCTATATAGACCATCTTTGTAAATCTGACCTTTATACCACTTATTACACATCTTAGCCTCTGCCTGACAATTTAAACTTGTACCTCAAGAAAATAAAAACATTACTTAAATATAAATAAGAAATGAGCTTTGTATTTTTATGTATTTTTAGGCCGTGAAAAAACAACTTCCACATTGATAAAGTTCTCGTCAGTATTCAGTTCTATTTTCATAATTGTTATTAGCTCTTCTTTTTAAAAAAATTTCAAATGTCTACTACAATTACCTAAAACCAAAAATTCAGCCCAATACTAACTGCAGGAGAGCTTAATGTATCTAGGTCAGTTAAGGATGCTAAACAATTATACACCATCTCTTATCAGTCACAAAAATGTAATACTACACCAATGTTTATCTGCCTAAAAAACAATAACTTCAAACTAATAAGGTACAAAAACATGAAATAAAGCAAAAGAAATTAAGTTTGGAAAAATGTCAGAAAGTGGAGGCTATCTATCCTACTATCGGCCTAACTCTGTCATTTCGGTTTTAGAAGATAATTGATAAGAAAATCTCAGGACATATTTTTTTTAAAAGCCAGGGTGTCAGCCACAAGAACAGGTTCTGGAACAATATGACTGTGTAACTTTACAGTCTCCAGATTGACCGACTTAAATATTTGTTTTTCTCTAACCATGCTAGGAATTTTTTCATCCTACTGATTTGTGGCCTCCTATGGTCCACTATGCATTTGTTATTTTTTAATGATGCTATTTTGAAGTTGTATGGTCCAGAATATGATCTACTGTATACACCTGAAAAGCTAATGAAGGCAACACATTATATTCTGCAGAAAAATCTGAGAAACATCCAAAAATATAATTCAGGGAAGTATTACAAAACCAACCCAAGTAAAAAAAAACTTGGAATCCCTATGAAAATTCTCAGATAATACAATCACACTGGAGACATAGGTTATAGAAGACCCCTCATTTAATAACTTTTTAAAAAATCTATATTTAACTGAACAAACTACTGTTTTCCATGCTCATTATTTACCTATAGTACATGAAGTATGTTAAGAGATTTAAAAAAAGGTTTAATTAATACTTTACACATGACATATTATAATAAGATCTCTATAACCACAATCAATTAAAATCAAAAAGAATATAATTTGCAAAATACACTAAAGTGAGTAAGAAGCTGACCTTAATTTACAATCTGAAGGACACTTTTGATTGCTATCCTTCATCCATTTATTTAGAACATCTGAAACCAATGTCTATAAAAGGGAAATTCAGAGTGACAAATAGCCAAAATTTCAATGTGAAGGCACAAATGGCTTAAAAGCTGTATTACCTTCCCTGATTCTTCATATAAAAGATGAAATGTTAAAGAACTAAAGAATACATCTTGTAGTCTGTGTCTGTAACATTTTGCATGTAACAAAAGTCACCACTGGATTACCTGACAGTTGTGTCTTGAAGATAAATACCATATCAAGGCACAGTTCACTAGACTGGTCAGTGTTTTACTTTCAAATTAAAATTTATAATAATAATAATAACAACAACAACAACAACAACCACCTGTATTATCCCTAGAAAATGACACACCAAAGATGCATCTTTGACTGCATTCCAAATCTTACATTTAAATAATATATACAGTAGAAGAATTAGAGTTACTGTATTTCTGTACTGCTTGTGGTTTATTGTTAAACTATAAAAAGGTTCACAAAAATGTTTTTACCAAATACAAAATTACAAATAAAAGTGTTGTAATAATTTGCTGTTTTCTAATTCCTGGTTAACATTGAGCCTAGTGCAAGGGTTTTGCAGTATGTTGATTCTGTTAGTGTACAGTGAATATCAAAAGTCTACACACCCTTATTGAAATTTCAGCTTTTGTTGATGTAAAGGCTGAAATATAGACATATCACGACAGACCTTTTTTCACCTTTAATAAGATCTTGTAACATACAATATTAAAGTGAAAAACAAATGGATAATTTTTGGCAAAATAATTTAAAAAAAACTTTAACTCAAAACAAATTCTAACGCACATCTTCATCTGAACCTACCTTGGAGACATTCCCTGATCCGGTAAAAACAAAGGTTAGTGGTCCCAGGGACTTGGGCATAAGACCCAGAGAAATCTCATATCCAGCATCCCTCACTGCCTGTACAGCCTGGCTGCTATTCCTGTAATTATGAGCCATGCCAATATGCTAGAAGTCAAAGGAACAAAAGAAATATTAAACATATCCTGTGAAAAATTATCATTATTTTGTTTCTCCAAAATTCAAGATTCACATTTATACCATAAAAGGAGTGTGATGTCCCAAAGCAAGGAAGCGCAACCCCAGTCCATGTAAAATATTAATCATTCCTGAAAAAAAGCAAGGAACACAACTGTCAATGATCCAAAGCTCTGCAGCTGCCAAATTCTACTCATCCTGTACAGAATCAAAATGGATACACTAGTTATTTCTGGAACCTCAATTTGACTGAAAAAATCTGAACCAGGTGAAAATCCTACAAGAAGTTCGCTCTCATAAATCCTTAGAGTCGGTTTTTGGGGAAAAAAAAACAATATTATACAGTATTGCTACACAAAGGCATTGTTACAATATACAGTATGTGTGTTATCATAAGGAATTAAAAGACACAAGGGGAAAGGAAATGAAGCTTTTTTGTTCTTGGCTTAGAATTTCAATTCATGCATATTTGCATTAACACACATGATAAAACAGAACTTAAAAAAGTGAAAGCTTTAAAATTATTTTTTAATAAAACTCCATTTGGCTTTCCAGACAGTCTTACAGTGTTGCTAAATTAGGACTTGGAAAGGGGAGGAAGGATCAAGTAGCTGCTGCAAGGGCAGTTCCTCAAGGAATAACAACACCCAAGAAATACAGTGCATGAGGATGTTTATTCAGAATTTTTAATGTAGTGAAATCTGAATTAACCTTCTTGGCTGGAGGCCAATCCCCTGGACATAGGACGAGGAAGCTAGGACCCTCATGGAGAGTGAGGTGTTAAACACAGAAGAAGGAATGTGTGAGGCAAAATGGGGGAAAAAAAGAGGGATTTGCATAAAACATATACCCATTCTTTGATTTCTTTCCTCGAAAACAGCAAAAATATCAGTGTAGCAGAAAAATAGCTATAAAATACACAATTCATTTATAGTGAAAATTCAGAAACCAGCTGTTTGGAAATCATGATATTAATGTATAGCTCTGAACTTTGGGAAATTACATCTGGAATGATTATGACAAAGAAAAGCCTGGTTGTTGTCATTCTTCCCAGATTTCAGTTAGGAACTTCCAAAATGCTAAAGGGGTGCAAAATTAAGCTCTTTACTTTTAGAATTTCTTAGACCAGTCTAGTAATTATTTCCATCATTAACCGTCATTTCACCAAATTAAAATTAAGGTAGATTATTAGCAATACCTAAGGAGGAAAACATACCTGCCACTCCAGCCCACTGCCCAAAGGCCACAATTCGAAGTCCATTCTGATCAACCATTTTCTCATAATCAATAAGACAAATTTCCTACAAAGTAACAGCAATAACAAGAAATTCACACACATAAATATCACATTTGAATTCTGCATTTTTGTCATAGAGTAATGAAGAAATTCAACAGCACCAAAAGTATCATGTTTATTGTTGGAGATAGGACAATTCTAAAACAGGCAAATATTTTTTTTTTTTAAATGGTGGCAGTATGTAATATTATTCCACAATATGCCACGATGTTAATATGATTCAATCCCTGGTAAACATTTGAATGAAACATTACACCTAATAAAAATAATAAAACAATGTTCGTGAAGCTCAAAAGCTTAAAAGCTAATTTTCTGCATTTGCAAACTTAACCAAAATGATTATTATACTTCTTTATGAAATTGTGAAATCCAATATTGAAGCACTGAAGTTGACTGCATTACTTCACTGCGATGGTGAGAAATGGTAGTTAAACACAACATAGGAGAAACGTTACATTCTATATTTAAAAACAGAAAAATACCATACTGGATACCCCAGATAAAGGCACGGGAATTTAAATTCGTATTAAACCATCCACCCTAAATAGTGACTTACATGTGATGAATAACTGAAAATGAAACCAAAACAAAACCATACCTTTTTCAGAATGTCATCCAAAAGCCCCATGTTAGGCTCCTGTGCTTTGATTGTGTGGGAAAAGAAGGCATAGGTCTTTCTGGGAATGAGCTTTTCCTCAGGTGGCCTCTTTACTCCAATTATCAGTGAGGCTTCTGAAATATCTTCTTGAATAACTGCACCAGCTTTAAAATAATACTGAAACACATTATGAAAAACATAAAGAGTTTATTCTACACAATGACCTATACAATCAGTCACGTTTAATCTAACTAACCTCATCCCTTTTTTTACAATTCCGAGTAAAAAAAAGTCTTCCATTTTAGTCAAAAGACAATGTAAATGTGTTGGAATCCATAATAAATGACTTAATGGGCATTTCTAAAAAGAAATTCTGTTGTGGAGAAAACAGACCAGATGAACAATTACCTTCTCATGAATAGCTCTTCTATTTGACGGCTGCACCAGGACCTTGTACCCTGCGTTTGTGATCTCCTTGACGTGTTTAGGAGCCAGCGGTGCCCGTCTTTCCCACACATTGATGTCTTCTCTCCTGATGGCCAGCACACTTTTATGGTGATGGTACCTTGCATGACCACACAGGCAAAGTCCTGTTCCTCTACTTCTGTGTCTTGCAAGTCGAAGCATGGCTAGCCTCGTGTCTGGCAAGAAACATTATAAAATCAAATAATCCTACCAACAGACTATAGGTGACTGAAACATGTACAGTACAGTGTTCACAGTAGGTCAACTTCAATAAAATCACCTATGTTCACTCTCTTATAAACAACAAAGGAGAACACTGCAAAGCAGGCAACTGAACAAGAAACTGGATATTTTTTGGCAGAATGGGAAAAATTCTCTACATAAGTAACCCCTCTGTTATCTATAAAATTGTTTGATGTATTGCAAAATTGTAAATGAAATCTCTATACTAAACATACAGGTTTAACATGGCAAATACAGGTTTAACTAAATATTTTCAATTATTGTCAAATATGCAATTGTAAGAAAAGGTAATTCAATGCTAATTGTTATCCTGAATTTAGATTAAGATAGTTAAAGTATGTTTTCTTACTAAAAAAAGTTATAAAAATGCATTCGTGAGAATATTTGCAAATAACATTAACCTAATCAAATATTTTATAACTTTCCGATACTTAACTTTTTGAAAAAGCCAAATGTAACTCTTCCCCAAGTCTGCTGACAATAGCCCTCCATATACATATTTCAGATAACAAAACTTCAGCAAGACAAAATTGGAATCAAAATTAAATTACAGATCCCATTAGATAACACTACAGTTCTGTAAAACAAAAAACCGGGTAAGAGCAGCGACAGTTAATATCATGATTTGTTAGAGTACTTTTTACCTTTACAAATAAGAACCTAAGGACTGCAACTCACTAATAAATTAACACAGACGAATCCCTGATAGGATATTAACGTTGCTGATGTATCTATCGCGTCTTTATGAAATTAGGAACCATAAAGTACAATTTAAATGTTAATAGAATAAACACATGACAATTCCTCCACGAGCTAGGAAAACATTAAGTACTGCGCGTATTAATTCCTCCATGATTAACGCAAAGTTGGGCAATTGCAATCTACCCAACTTCACCAAGGCGTTTTACTTAAGGATGAACTCGATTTTTAACACATGCTGCAGAACAAGCTGCAACGTCAACCACCTTTATAACCAGAAATAGATTTCTAAAATTGTGCTTAAAGAAAATAATACAGAGAACATTCGACTCTACTTTTCACCTACCTTTTTATAATGACTAGCGTCCAAATTTACTGCTTTAGATAAAACCGGCAGTGTTGATACTTTCAACCAAAAAAGAAAGGTTAAGTTGCAAGAACAGACAAAAAGTATTAAGGATTAGAAGTAACGTGACACCTCACTCACACGCCAATAGAATTTCAGAGTGATGGAACGGCCTTCGATATTAACCAATAGAGCTTCAGGTCAGAGCGAGCACCCTTGACGCAGGTTTATGACTGCCAAGGAAGCAATACCCAAGATTTTCTTCTGTTTCCAGATTTTTCAGAAGGTCACGCTAGGTAAATTTTAGGCTGATTTATAACTTCTCACTCATTGAATTTGTTCTTGTTCCACAGTCCTTTGCTAGACAACTAGGGTGTATAAAAGAAAGTAATAGGCTTAATACTCGTAATAATAGATAACATATTCCCGCACTCAAAGCCAGGGAATTGCATTAGATTGCAAGCTGCTGAAGAACAGATTTTTCCACGCTAAAAAAGAAAAATATGAACGTGGAAACGCTGTATTTTCCTACTTTATTTTTAGAGAATTAAGCTCTTCTTGTTCCTTATATGAATGCATTTATCCATTCATACTGATCATACTGTTGATCTGGGACGGAGCTGCATACTAAACTATTCAGTGGAGTTTATAACAGAATTTTGTGAGTAAGATGAAATGCTAATCTCACAACATTTCATTTCACATGTGTGCTATACATATATCGTGCACTAGGATTTATGTTCAGTTATCTTTCTTACACCTCCCACCTCACCAAGTACACCCTTGCAGCGAACTCTAACTCACACCTCATAATAATGAAGTTGATCTGGGCACCTTATCCACATGGATAGATTATCATTCACTTAGCTAAGCAAGTCATGCCAAATACTTAATACATCTACATATTTTGTTTATTACATTCATTATGATGGAACTAAACTACCTTTTGTGGTAGTGTTGCTGGATCTTCCCATGTTAGTATAGGAAGTTAACCTTACTTCATCAAGACATGTTACTATAACAAGGTGAGTACCCAACTATGCCACCTAGAAATTAGAAGGATGCTTGGACCCTTTTTCTCCTGCAACAGGTTATTTTTATCTTCAAGGACACTCTAGCAATTACAGTTCTACCATTCTACCCAAACAGAACCTATAACACAAAAGTACCTCCAAGAGACACATTCTAGAACAGCACAAGAATCCCATGGACCCCAGTTACCAAAACCCCAGTGTCCTAAATGAAAATTTCAGTAGAATAATTCTTCAAAACCATTTCCGTTCGGTGACCAGGTATGCCTACTTCCACCATACCAAAAGAAAGGATGAAACTCCTGATAGCATTATGGTGGTTCTTTGACATACTCTCATAAGCCTAGTCATCCCACCTCCCACAGAACTGTTGTTTTATCCAAGTCCAGCTTTGGGTGGGGACCAAGAAAACAATAAAGCCTTCCTCACTACTCTCTTTAGAGTCCCTGGTGTCTGATTCCTCTTAAAGCAACTGGTAAGTGTTGCAGTTTCTTTTGTCTCTGTGTGTTGTATGTGTGTAGAGTATGCAGAAGTGTGCCTTTGATGTCTTTGATGGGCAGAGCTAACTGCTTGGGGTTAATTGCTCAACTGGCTGTATGCAGATGGACAGCTGTATTTATACCCTGTTTTAAAGACCCCCTACTCAGTCTGAGGCCAAGTTAGATATGAAACTCACTAACCCATATCCAACTAACACTGTATCTCAATTCCACATCACCTCTCAGCTGTGTGGTAATTAACGAATGCCTGTGCAGGAGGATTTTTGGTCAATGGGAACAAGGAGAGAAAAATGTAACAAGGACTTAACTATGAAAATCAAAAACCTTCCTAATCAACTCTGCATGAAGATTCAAAGAAAAACCTTGGGTATCTCTTTGTGCATACTGTAGTGAATCATTAAAAAGTGAACAGCAACCAGACACTTTATAGAACCAAGTGAAACTACTTAGAGATGCCACAGTAAGTCTAACAGCAACTTTAAAAGAGTTACAGAGTTCAGTGATTGAGAAAGGAGCCTTGGTTGCTCATGGGTCAAAAATATCCCAGTCATTCCATAAAGGGGGCTTGTGGAACTGAAAAAGAAATCTCATATCCAAAATTTGGTCTGCACAAATGTGGCAAAAGGTTTTGTGGTCCAGCAGGATAAAACAGAAACATTTTGGTCTGAATGCAAAGTTCTACATCTCATACAATCCAACAGTGCATTTACTCAGTCAACACCATTCCTACTGTCAAGCATGGTGGTGGTAGGATTATGTTATAGATCTGCTTTTTATTGGATACTGGGAAGCTTGTCAAGACTGACAAGAACATAGGTGGTGCTAAATGCTGGTAAATCTTAAATGAAAACCTGCTTCAGGCTGAAAACTAGGACTGAAAATCACATGACATTGATCCACATGACATTGAAATACAAGGCCAATAATTTAATTGGACCAGAAAATTCTGACTTGAATCCTGCTGAGAATCTGAGGAAAGAGTTGAAAATTGCTGTCTATAAGCAATCTGCAAGCAACTTGATAGAGCTTGAGGACATTTTCAAAGAAGAATACCCAAGAATTACAACATGTCAGTGTGCAAAGCTGGCAGAAACCTGCCCAAGAATACCTGTAAATGCAAAAGGTGTCTCCAATATTGAGCTCACAGATCTGAACACTTTTATAATCAACATATTTTAGTTTTCTTTTTTATATTTCTCTTTTTCTCTATTTTTTCCTGACACTTGCTATAACTTATTTAAACTCTTTTTAAGTTATTTAAACCCTTAGATATACTGTACAGTATATTTATTATTACGTAATTTCATAGGAAGTGCAAATACATTTGCAAGGCACTGCATCTGATGAGTTCTATTGATTACAAACCCATGAAGGGACCAATTATTTTTTAAATTCCAAAACAAAACCCATGTACAGTATATTATGTGTCTCTTTTAATTTGAATAAAACATATTTGTTTCAGCTGTATGTTGAGGTGGAATTAGCAGTCATAAGTATATTCACCTCATGAATGGTGTTTAATCAGAAGACACATAAGAGAGATCCTGATAAACCTTTAAAAATGGCAATAGAACAAAAAAAATCAAGTGTATCTTTGAATTTAGCTGATTGTTTTGAATTTCATATTATTTTGAGAGAATCATTCAAGCTTTGTTTCAACAAGGTTAATCTCAGATTTACACACAGTAGGTGATATAGGAAGAAGACAAAATCCCATAACTGTAACTTATTTTACAATCACAATATTCTTCCACCCAAACTAGAAAACCCCCAGGAAGTCTGTGTCCAGAAGCTATATTTACAGTCCCTATATTTGAAATACTAATCATTAATGCAGTCTAGGTGTTTTTACATTATTGCTGGAAGCATGCACCACTATGTAGTGTTACAGTTTGCTGGTTATTGTTCTATAATTTAATTTGTACTTGTTACAACCCCAAGTGTCTAGGGGAAAAGGGGTGTAACATTTAGGATAATCCTTTTGGAAGCAGGTGGGTTTTGGTGAGGGACTAGGAAGCGTGATAAGGGTAAGGAACTAGAGTGGTGCCAAAGAAAAAAAAATAAACAAAATGGAGCTGGCTTGGACAGTGAGGGAAAGCTAATCTGATTACAAAAGAAAACCTGAAACACACAGTCTTCGGCATCTTCAACACCCTAGCTAACCTGCACTGACTACCCAAAACCATACAAGACAAACGGCACTCACCCATACTAAACTCGTGTACTAATACAAAATCAACTAAGTGTGTAAAGTGTACCCAACAACCTAAACTAACCTTATATACAAACGTTCACACAAAAACACAAGTGAACCAGGAATACAAATAAGGGAAAACAAGAGTAATCAACAGGAGCAGGGTACAAAAGAACACAAAAGTTGAACATGCAACACTGGGGCAAGGTAATGACAAAACAAGGATTAACACACAAACAAACGAAAGTACAAAGAAACTAACGTAAAACCAACAAAACAACAAAGCCGAAGCTATACGAAAATACACACACATACAAAGCAAAACAGCCGAAGCAATAACCAAAACCAAACGGGACTGAAGTCAAACAAAAGGCCTTTTCTTCCTTAAAGCCTCCATGTTATGTAGTGAATAAAATAAGTTCTGATTGGCTGAGGCTGATTGATGATGACATCATATTGAAACAGTGGTGTGATGGTTGGCCAATGGGGAAGGGAGAACAATCAAGGGTCAGCAGTGTGGACATAACAGAAAAAACACACACTGGGACGTAACAGTACTGTACCAAGAAAATTCATGTTGAAATTAGGAAAAAGTTCCTGAACTATAATACTAAACAATAAACTGGTCTCTTTTATATAATTAAAAAATGAATGAGCTTATCTAGCTTTGATTGTTTTTCTCTGTTCAAGTTACTACATTCATGTGAGATGAGATCATTTGCATTTGAAAACACTTCATTATGTACAAAAACAAAATGCATTTATTTTAGACTTTGTCAGTTAAGGAGGATTTTCACATAACATAATGTTGCCACCACCATGCTTGATAATGGACATTTTAAACAGAGTAAAGCACTGTGCTGGGTTTATGTCAGCAATGTCAGTTTATGTTCAGGTGGGTAGCTGCATCAGCATGCGTAGGCTGCAAAGGAACAAGTAATAGGTTTATTCCATGCTGAAAAAAAGAAGAAAGAGAACACAATGTTTTGGCCTGAAGAAAGCTCCACGGCCGAAACGTTGTGTTCTCTTTCTTCTTTTTTTCAGCAT